AAATAATAATAATAATTATAATTATAACCGGAATTTTATTTTGTTTGATATCATTTTTAATTACTTTAATTAAATAAAAAAAAAAAAAAAAAAACAAACAAAAAAAGGTGTAAAACAATAAAAAAAATTTATTTCATGGTTGGATTGATTATGAATCATTTTTTTTTATTTTCTTGTTGCGAAAACGGTATGGATATTTTTCCTTAACCCCTTTTTTTATTTATTTTAAGAATAAATAAAAATAAATAATTAAATTTAATAAAATAATATTTATAAAACAAACCCCCTTGAAATATTATATATATATATATATATGTATAAATGTCGGTCAATGATGGTAAGTACAATTTTTTTTTTTTTTTTTTTTTGGAAAATTGGGATTTTTTCAAGGTATCACACTCGCTTTTGTAATATTTATTTTTGTTATAATTTTCAATTTTTTAATAAATTCATGTTAATTATTATTCTGGGTTGTGACATGGAAAAATATTGTTTTTTTTTGTAATTTTTAAAAGCCCTTAAAACATACTCATAAATAACAAAGTGTCTTTTATGTATTTTTTTTTTTTTTGGTTTTCGTCTTGTTTTCGAGAAATATTAACGGTAATAACCTTTAAAGGTAGTCTTTGGGTACTTGAAAAACAATTCAAGAACCATGTTCTTAAATGAAATAAAAAATTAAATAAAAGTTGAATTGTAATGTTAAATATTACGATGCTTAAATGTTATCATGGATGTTATAATCTTATTTAAAGTTCGTGGCAGCAGACGAATAACCCTACTGCAACGCCATCTATTCGTAATTTATTTTAAAAGTTTAGAGTTTTTATTTTAAAGACAATGCTATATACTATTTATTTTTTTATATATTTAGTAGATTTTAAGAGAGTGAATTTAGTTTACGGGTTGAAATTTGATGCTAATACGTTTTTTGATAATTCGCTTTTAATTCAAAATGGAAGAATACATTATGAGTCGCTAACGGACAAAACAAATATTCCGCAATTTGGTAGTTGTTGGAAAAATGCCATTAACGATCTTCAGTTAGGATGTAAACATTTATCTGAAGAAATTCAAAATGATCTCGCATTAAAATTTACCGATTGTTTTTTACAAATGTCGGGTTATGAACCGTTAAATTGTAAAGAACCGATAAATATCTGTCCTCAAAAATTATCCGATCGTGCCTTTAATGCATACACAGAATTTTATACACACACTCACAGTATTTGTTTTTTTTTACAAAGTCAAACATGGCAAGAAGAAGCTGAGAAAACGGTTAATAAACTTTCTCTCACTTCTTTATTGGTTTCGAAACAATTAAAAGAAGCTGATAAAAATCAACAGAAGTTATTAAAAAATCAAAATGATTCTTTACTTCAGCAGCAAAATTTATTCGATAAAATTAAAATTATGTCGAATGAATTGACATTTTCACAGGGAAAAATAATTTCAATCATTGATGGTCTGCAAAATGTAACATTCGAACAAAATAAATTACTTTTTGATTTAATGAAAGATTTATTATCTCTCAAGTTATGGACTGTTAGTGAAGTTTCTTGGTTTAATTCCATCATATTTTATGTTGTTGTTGTTGTGATTAATTTTATTTTTACATCCGTTGATAGAACTCGTAATGCAAGACTTTGGATATTAATAATTTTTAGTATAAATTTTATGATTGAAAGAATAATTACTTATTCACTGATACAATATAATTCTAATAAAGACATATCAAATTTAACTATAGATTTAATGTATGAATGGTTTTGGGTGCTTAGACGAATTTGTGTAGTATTATCACTCGTAGTATTACTTTACTCCTCAATAATTTATTGTGATTTTAAAGCAATGAATCATAAGTTACTTTTGCAAATTAAACATCAAAATGAAAAGATTATTAAATTATCTAATAAAGACATAAATATAAATCCTTTGCATAAATCGCATTGGATAAACGAATCAGAATATAAGAATAATAAATTAAATGATAGATTAGATTTTTCAAACGAGCTTAACAATCAAACTTTTCAAAATTTTTATAAGACTGAATACTTCCAAGATTGCATGACGATAAATAAAAATGACAATTTAAAAAAATTTCTCAGTAAGAATATTTGTAATTTATTCGATTTGAAAAATTTGGATCAAACAGATCATGAAAAAGTTAAAAAACAAAATAATAATAGTACACTGTTAAAAAAGTGTGACCCTTGCGATGAATCATATTCATCGCATGACTTAAATAAATCAAAATATAATTTACGAAGTTGTAAAAAAAAAGTTGTACAATAAATGTCTTCCAATTTTACCTATAGTATTGGTTTTTAAGTTTTAAAAATATTAATGAATGATTAAATTGTTTATGTCAGAATAAAATGTTTTTATAATATTAAATATTTTGTAAATTTAAATTTAGTAATTTAAGAAAACATTGTTTTACAAACATATATAAATATAAAATACAAAGTAATTTGTACAATAATATTTTTATAACTCAAGCACGACAATAAATATTAAATATTTTTTAAAAATAACTAGTAAAATTTTTTTCTAAGATCATACTTCACAGAAATACAATAGAAATTTTTTTTTTTTTTTTTTTTTTTCAATAAGTTATTTACATTAAGTCTATAGAAATTATGGAAAAGTAATAATAAAATTTGATACTTTCATTAGTTTCTGTCCGTATTGACGATAAGTTAATTTTATTGTTAGTTATAAAACACTACAAAAATACACTAAATATTTATATTAAAAGATATTTTTAAAAATAAATTCTATTTTATTATTATTGTTTCCTAAGAAAAAAAAAAAGCACTTTTAACGGTGTGACTTTAGAATTTAAAAATTGAATTCTTTTTTTTGGCGACAACTTTATATTAAAATTCAGCTTTCGTTGTGTCGCCAAATTGTTTTTCTAACGTATTTTTTGTTGTATTCGTTATTTTTTTAAATTCGTTATAATTATTATTTTATAGTGTGATTGTATATATAATAAATGCAGTATGTTGTTTAATTATATATCAAAAATGATTTTATCAGTCAAAAAATATTACTTCGTGAAATTTCAGTAATTGTTTTAATTCGTTTTTTAAATTTTCTTCAACATGGAACACTGTACGCTGTAGTTTACACCCCATATTAACACAATTATTTTACAGTAAATTTAACATACCTAACATCAAACATTAAAAAAAAAAAACAAATAATGGTGAACTTATTGTCAAATGATGTTATTTTACTATCTGAAAAGCTCAGAAATGAAGATCCCGAGCAATTTTACACATTGGTCAAAATGCATTTGTCTTTTGTGTTAGATTTGAATACTGATGAGTAAGTAGAGAAACATATTAATTCGTTAAGTTTTTGAATTTTTTAATTTTCGTCGAACTAATTATTATTTAAATTTGTTAAAGATGTGATAATAATACTGAGAAAAAAAGTAAAGCTGTCAAATGGAATTTACCTTTTACAAAAAAACAAAAAGTTAATGATAAAAACAGTTTGGATGGTCCTCCTTTAACTTATGATTTCATTACTCAAATGAAACCGATAATTGAATTTTTAAGGAAAGAAGAAAGTAAGTTTACTGCTTATTGTAAATCCTATAATAAATGATCATTTATAACACCAAAATTTTTTTTAGATATTTGTCAAGAAGGAATCTTTAGGCGAAGTGGAAGAGTTACTCGACAACAAGAATTGAAACTTTTACTTCATCAAGGAATTACCCTTAACTTTGATGAAAACCAATTTTCTGTTCATGAATGTGCTACAGTTTTAAAAAATGTTTTATCAGAATTACCTGAATCTGTTTTAACTGATGCTCAGTACCCTGCATATTGCCAAATTGCAGAACTTTGCAATGTGAAAAATCATTCTTACAACGAAAGACTTTTAAGAGCGTTACAATTATTAATTTTACTTTTACCAAATGAAAATAGAATTTTTTTTAAAGAAATAATTGAACTTCTTAATTTAGCTGTGGCTCATGAGCATAAAAATAGAATGTCAGCAGAAAATTTAGCAACATTATTTACACCTCATTTATTGTGTCCGAGAAAAGTAAGTCAGCCATTTTATTTATCGTAGTAGTAAGATAAAGTAATTTATGTAAAATATTGTTATTCATATTCATTTTTTATTTTTTATAAAAAAAAAGCTATCTCCTGAAGCTTTGCATGTAAACTCTCAAGTCATGTCTGGTGTTGTCGCATTTATGATACAAATGGGATCTAAAATATTTGATATTCCTCCCACCGTAGCTACAGACGTTAAAGCTTATTGGAATAAAAAAGAAAAAAGAATAAATTCTCCATTGAAACAGGTATGAAATTTTTTTTGCTTTGTGTCTTTAATTTAAGGTATTAATTATAATAATAATAATTTTAAATTTTCCAACAGATGAATGAAAGCATTTGTGATGGAACTGCAGCTAACACAGTTTTTACATTTGTCGATCGAGAAAAAACAGCTGAAGAAAATCGTACGAATCCAACTGTAACTGCTTTGGCTCAACTTTATGCTTACATACAAGCATTACCAGAATCTTCGAAAAAGAGAAAATTGATAAAGCAGTTTAACAAAGAAAATGGTTATGGAACACCATTGCGAAATACAGTCAATAAAAAACGTTTGAAACCTTTGAATCTTGGTGACTCTATAAAAGTTAGTTTTAACTATTATTCCTTGTTGTTTTATTTTGTTGTATTCATTTTTGAAATTATTTATTTTTTTTTTTTTTTAGAAACATTTATCAGGGTTTAGTAAAAATTCAAAAAGAAATACAAATACAATTTCTGGCGAAATAGAAAATGGATATGTATCAGTAAGTTTTTTTTTTTCTTATTACACAAAGATACAAATATTTGATCACGGGATTCATTATTTGGTTATAATTTGCTTTTCAGAGTCCAGACTCAGGTATGTGTTGTAAAAAATTTACAAAAGAAGAAGAAGAAGAAGAACAATTATTAATAAACGGTTCAGGGGCGTTAAATAATAAATCTCCATTAAGTACTAAAATTATACATGCTAAAAATGGCGATACACGAAAAACTTTTTTGAATGGAGAACAACAAATTGTAAAAGTATCGAATATAAAAAATGATTTTCAATTAAACAAAGAAATGTGTCATCATCAGGAAGGATCATCAGGTCACAATCGGGAAAAAGATTCTAGGGAAAATTCTTTAGAAAATACTCCTAAATATAATTCGAAAAGAAGTTTGTCATCCTTGTCAAAAGATGACATTATTTTAAGCAAGACGTCTCGTTTATCAGAAGAGAAAAAGTTTTCAGAAGGTTCTTCATCAACGGGTGGTTCTGACGGAGGGAATTTGAGTTTTGTGAGTAATAAAAATTATGTTAAATTCAAATGCTTTAGTAAAAATAAATTAAACTCATTGGAAATGAGTACGAAGGAGGAAGAAGAAAAGAAGGAAGAGAGGGATTTCGACGATGAGTTTTCCGTTAGAAAATTAAATAATTCAAATGTTGTCAGTGGGACTAACAACAATGAAGGGTTTTTGCATTTTTCAATTAACAATAATACTAACCGTTTACCAATTTCATATTGTCCCAAGTCGACGTATTTAATGACGACGAGTACACCGGCGCCAACGAGCACTTGTTTTTTTACTCCAAAGGTTGATAAGAATAATTCAATGTCACCGATAACAAAATCTGCAAGGAGGATGCCTAAGGCTATGCAGGTGATTGGATGCGATGACCTCGTTGCATGGAAACTATATACTGGAGAAATTTTTTGTGATCTTGCACGGCGTTTATTATTATAAATCACTTCTTTTTTTTTTTTTTTTGCATGGTTTTTATTTTGATGTTGGTTTAGGTGAAGGTGATGATGGTTTAAAAAAAAAAAAAAAAAGAGACAGAGTTGTTTGTTTTTGTTTGTTCCTGATTATTCTTTGACTGGGTTTGACTGGAGTTGAAAATTTTGACTAGAGTCAATCGTGTTTGATTTAATTTAAATGTAAATTTTTTTTACGATTATGTTTTCTTTTACAATTGTTTAATACATGGAATTTAAAAATTTTCAGGAGACGATGATGACGCCGAGAAGTCGAAAACCGGTTATATCACTTTCCGGAACGGATCTTTGCAGTCTTGTTAATTCGGATTCTGGTGGTATGGATCTCGGCGAATCCGATGAAACGAAATCGAAAATTTTGAATAATAAAATGGGGAAAAAACTTATAATGGAAGAAGATTCGACGAACGAACGTGATGGCGACTCGCTGTCTAGTCCCTTCAGAAATTATTTATATAGCAGAAGCGTATTGACGGCAAGTCCGGTGGATTTGAGTTTTTCAAGCAGAGCTGATGATTTTTTATCTCTAACCGATGATGATGATGATGATGATGATGATGATAATTCATCAAAGGAAAATTATTACAATCGGTTACCCGAAATAATAAATAGGGGAGGTGGTGGTGGTGGTGGTGACTTAAGCGAATCATTACTTTATTGTCTTGACGGTAATGAACCCAACGATGGACATTTTGATAAAAATGAAAAGGAATATAATTGCTCTTGTTCTTCTTCTTATTCGGATAGTTTGAACAGTCAAGTTTACGAAACGGCACTTTAATTATTATTATTTTTTTTCTTTTTTGTAACAATGAATTTTTTTTTGTAATTCGTTGTAGTTTATTAAATGATATTAATTTTTATTAATACCAAATATGACTGTTTTTTTATTATTAGCTATTTATAATAATATTATAAATATAAACGAGGTAAAATGTGCGTACTTTTTTATAGTGAGAATAAAACTCATAAATTTTGAGAAGAAAATGTGTTTATACAAAGGTTTTCTTAAAATATTAAAATAAATAAAACAAAAATTAATTAATAAATTATTTATTTATTTTTATTTTTTCCTATTCATAACAATTTAATTTTCTATCAATTATTATTATTATTTTTTTTTTTTCCAGATAATTTTATGTTTAAAATCTCGATTATTTTTCCAATTTATTTAAGTTCATTTATTGTGAATATATTTATTAATAATTAACAGTATTAATAAGTTGTCGCAAAAAAGTCAAATCGTGGCAGTAGACTAATGTAATTTTGAAGTTTATATGTATAATATATACCCTTATTAAATGTAATGAGATATTTGTACCGGATTTATGTTACTTAATCTATATCATGGAAGTTGATCGGCTCAAACCGGGAACGTCTCCACTGTCGTCCGAAACGCTTTTGTGGTTTGAATTTTTATTAGATCCGACATTACTTGAAAAACATTTAAATAAATCTAATCCTGATCCGTCGCCAACCGATTTGATAGTAAAGTTTTTAAACGTTGATAAAAAAGAAGAGGCAATAGTTTTAGATGATGAAAATGGTGATTGCAATGGTCATTCAGCTCCGAAAATAACAAAGAAAAGTTTATCAATTAAACTATTAAGTTTAAGAGTTGCTGCTTTTTTAAATTGGGATTTAGATGTATTTGAAGTCAAGTTAGTGAGATTATTTTATTTTGTACCATTAGGGACAAGTATATTATTTATCATAAATACATTAAAAAATTTGATTTACTTTAACAATATTAATTCATTTTCATAGCAGAGTGAAAATTTTTTTTTCAAAAATGCTAAAACTTTAATTTCAGATTACCTTTACCAATGCAAGTTGCCTTACTTCATGATTTACTTTACATTGCTTTCGAGGAGGATGTTAATGTTAACACTCATAGCAATATAAATTTATCTTCTGCCGATCATCAAACTGTTTTCGCTATTTCACTTTATCACAGATGGGTTTTAAAATCGTATATGTGTGGTTCGTTAATAATCAAGCAGCCGAAAGTTCCCTTCATCCCAATGTAACATATTATACAATATGATCGTTTTAAAAACACTTATGATTAAGTAATACAAGTTTATTAAAAATTTTGTTTTTTAGGCCTGGATTACAAGATCCAAATTTAATTGCTACAAATCAAAGAGAAGAAATAAGATCAAAATTAGTTAATCAAATTAATGATAGTTTAGAAATTTGTAAAAAATTAATTAATTTATCATCTCTCACAGTGCCCACAATTGATTCGTTTATACATATTGACGAAGAAGCGACTGATGTAAAAGCAAAATGGTTAAGCGGTACGGAAGTTAAAACGGAAGAGTTTAAATGTCAAGCAAGTGTCACATTAATCAATATTATTATTAAAAACTATAATTTCAGGGGGATAAAAACGATTTTATTATTTTTTAGATTTACTACGAGTTGGGTTGTTTTAGTTTTTTTAAAGAAGATTACAGCGTTGCCAAAGATTATTTTTACGAATGTTCTAAACTTTATGAAAAATTAGAAAAAAATTCAAATTTAAAAAGTAAAGTTAAATTTTGTAACATTGATAAAAGTAAATTGGAAGGTTATTGTAAAGCTTGTGGAATTGCAGTGTCAGATTCAGGGGAAAAAAATGTTTATGATAAATTCAAAGCGTCTTTAATGAATCAGTACACTGTAAGTGAGAAAGCGATTTTTTTTAAAATCTTTTAATTTTATCAAAAGATAATGTTATTGTAATTTAGGGTTTGATGCAAATTTTACAAGAGGACAACATTTTGCAAATAATACCATTGATAGACAGAGAATTATTAGAAAGGGATGTTCAAGTGGCCATTTGCAGCGGAGCCTTTACAGTAGCTAAAGATTTTTTTTATAAAATTCAAATATTAAATACACTACGAAGAGTTTGCAGTCAGGAAACGAATAACATTGATTTTGAAAAATGTCTTAAAAGTTCTGGTGATAAAGGAATGGATTTTTTCATTTCAGTGAGTTTTCCATTTCATAAATTTTATTCATAGTTATTGTTTTTTTCGAATGCAATGCTTAAAAAAAGTATTTTTTTCATTTGAATTTATCGGTAAAAAAAAAAAAAAAATTTCATAATTTTGTGATTTGATGGCTTTAACTAAGGAATTAAATTGGATTTGCTAATTATGTATTTATTTAGTCTTTGAAGGATTTAATAACGAATTCAGTTGGGAAAAGGCTAGGAAATTTAAAATTTTTCTTATTAGACTTGATGATAAAGGATTTGTCTGGAGTCGAACAACGTTGTTCGTCGACATTAGCGGATGCTCTATTGGATGTCGATTGTGTAAAAGGACTTTTCAATGAAAACGAAATGAATTTTCTCACATGCCTTAATTCGAAGGAATCAAACGAAGTCAACGCGATTGTACCCCCCGGCACAACTCAAGCTCTTTCGCATTTATTATCTAGTACGTGAAATGAAATCGTCATTCGAAATTTAATTATTTAAAATTAATTTTTTTTTTTATTTCCATCATCGTAGGGAGTCCGAGACTCGAGGTGATGAACATACAACAGCAATTGATTCAAAATTACGACACGGAAGGAATAAAACAACTTTTGCAAAAGCTATCGTCTAAAAATTCAGGGAAATCATGGTGGAAATTAAATTACAAAGTAAATAATTTCTTTCTCTCTCTCTCTCTCTCTCCCCTTTTGGTAAACGATGTAGCATTTAATAAATTATTATTATTATTATTATTGTTAACAGTGGCATTTGCCCATTCCGCTTCAAAGCGTCGTCATGGGTTTTTCCAAAGGATACCTTCAGGATTTAGTTTATATTTTACTTGCTAAATCTCGCGAGCTTAGCAAAAATAAAGTAAGTTTTGCAGGAAAAAAAAAAAGGAAAAGTCATAAATTATGTACGTAAACAATAAGTTAATTTTTTTTTTCTTTTAAGGATTTTAAAAAATCAATTTTACTCCTCGAAAACACGGCAAAAGAAATAAAAGAAGCTCCCGGTACGAAATTATACTCGAATTACATAACAAAACTCAACAGATTGATCGAATGGGAGATTTTATTAGTGCAAATAAATCATTATTTGGAAGAATATCCGGATATAATTATGCGTGACTATTATTATTATTATTATTATTATTAGGAAATCATCGAGAGCGCGACGTGCGTGACGATACTCATATATATGTATGTTTGTTGTCACGCAGATCCGAATCAGCTGATATCATCTTGCAAATCGTGTTTGGCTGCTTTACAATCCGGTAATTCGGTCATACCGAGACTCGAAGTAATGGAAAATTGCGCTTTGGCTCTTTTAAATCTCGGAGAATGGGATGCTCTGACGTCACTGGATAAAAGATGGAATTTTTTAGAATTGGCCGGAGCGATCGCTTCCGCGTGTCAAGACATAAACAAACACAAAGGAAGCAAAAAACTATCGAGGGAGGCTTGGGATCTAAGTAAAAAAAAAAAAAAAAAAGAAAAATTTTCTCTCTCCCCCCCCCATCCCCCTGCTCCCCTTTAATGCATGCGATGACGACGACACACGATCGATTAATTTTTCTTTTTTTTTTTTTCTCGGTTGAAAAGTACTACCGGTGTTTGGTCCGTCATCACAACCGAAAAGATCCGGTGGATCCACAGCATCTCCAACAGGATCAAATCTTACGAAAAATTGCCTGTTGAATTTTCTCATACGTTTAAGGGAGCCGACGTGTTTGAGTGTCGTCATATCCCTACTCGCGAGACTTCACAACGTTTTAAAAGACGAACCGAATTTGGAAATAAATTGTCAGTACATCGGATTATGGCCGGCTGTCGTGAGCAAGTAAGACGAATATATAAAATTTTATCATCACATTTTGTGATTCTGATTGTTGTTGTTGTTGTTGTTGTTGTTGTCCAGCTCGAATTCGTACAGTTCCCGATCCGTCGCTGAAGTTTTAACTCAAGTCATATTGAAAGCCATTAAATTCATGCCCAAACACAGTTCGTTCTTGCGAGTTTTGGGAGATCTCAACTACGGTACGTTTACATATTCAAAGTGAGGTTTTTTCATAATCGTCGCCATTTTAACATTTTTCCTCTTTCTTCATTCTAGTGACAAACGATTGGACGAACGCATTGAAATATTATTTGGAAGCCGGAGCCGTTTCAAGCGATTTTTTCTCACAGCCCGTACCGAAAACGGTTTTAGATGATTTCACGTATAAAAGAATGATAAAATGTTGTTCTCAACTACAGTGTCACACACAAGTATTAAAAGAAATTTTTTTTGTAATTTATCCCGCGTTCGAGTCGTCATTTAATTCCCCGCCATTTTGTTTTTTTTTTTTTGTTTTAAGGCTGCCGTTCTGTGTCAATTTTTGGAAGAAGTGGATTATTCGTGCGCGTTTAAAAATTTAACGGAAACTAAAAATTCACAATGTTCCGACGCGATGGACGCATTTTATTTGTGCATATGGGATTTAACGATATTAGAATATTTAATTAATTTGCACAACAGGAGAGGAGAAAATCAAAGGAAACAACAAGTGGTAAGTGAGCGAATGAGTGGGGGGATGAGGGAACCTTTGAAAGGAAACAAGGTCGTCGATTTGACCTGATGGGGCAAAGAAATAATAATGATTTCTTATTGTCGTCTCTCTCTCTCTCTCTCTTTTTTTATTTATGTCTCTCTCTCTCTCTCTTTTTCAGGTTAAATTAATCGGTTTGCTCGAGCTCAACAGTAACAACAACGAAGAAATCCAACGGGAAGCGGCCAATTTGAGAAAGAAATTATTTTTAAGAGCCATGACGAATCAATACACTTTATCGACGAATACCAATTCGTTTTACGCAAAAAATTAATCAATTAAAAATGTCCGTTTAAACATTATTGTTTAAAAACTTTTTTTAATTGCTCGAGAGCTCCTCCTCTCCTCCCCCGCCTCGTTCTTCCTCTCCTTCTCGTCCTTCTTCTTCTCCTCCTTCTCCCCTCACTTCCTTCTCTTCCTCGTCCTTCTCCTCCTCCTCCCCTCACTTCCTTCTCTTCCTCGTCCTTCTCCTCCTCCTCCCCTCACTTCCTTCTCTTCCTCGTCCTTCTCCTTCTCCCCTCACTTCCTTCTCTTCCTCGTCCTTCTCCTCCTTCTCCTCCTCGTCCTTCACCTTATCCTCCCCGCCTCCTCTTTTCCCCTTCCTTACAACCCGTAAAAAGAAAAATAAAAGAGGAAAAATCGATACAAGATCTCGAGTTGTTTGTATGTTTGTTTGTTTGTTCGTTCGTTTGTTTGTTTTTTTTTTCTTATTATTTTTCCCCGTATTAAATAAAAAGAAGAAAATTTATTTATTATTATTATTATTATTTTACCACACAAAATGAGAGAGAAAGAAAAAGAAAATCGATAAAATGGAAATAAATATCGATAAAATTTTTTTTTTTTTTATCAATTAATTTTTTAAACGACGGTAATAAATTTATGTTTGTTTGTTTGTTTGTTTAATTTTCAAATCGTTTGTAGTTGTTTTCCTTTTTCCTTTTTTTTTTTTTTTTCTCGGGCTATTAATTTGTTACTTTGTTTTGTTTTTCTTTCGCTAAATTTATTACCTTTTATTTAACACAATGATAATTTCATTTTTACACAAAATTAAAAAAAAAATTTTTTTTTTTTTTTCTTTCTTTCTTTCTTTTCGATCGATCAGTTTAAAACATAAGTTTGTATTATTAATTAGAAATAAATGATGAATATATTTTATTTATCGATTTTATTATTATTATCATCATCATCATTTGGTAATTGCAAAAGGGATGAAAATTGGAGGGAAGAATTCGTTAACAATGATACGAATGTGAAAAATTACGTTAAAGAAAATTACGAGTACGAATACGTATCGGATGGGAATCAAAATGGCGACTTACGACAATTTACGGATGATGGTATCTACATGATAAAAATGTCAGAGGAAAATAACGAGTCGGATATTCAACTCCTTTGGAATAATTATAAAAAATGGTTGTTGGTCAGTTTTTATAAATATGTCGTAATTGCTTATAATCCGTGGGTTTTGACGAATTTAAATGGAAGAACATATACGAGAACAACAAACGATAAAAGATCAGTACAGGAAATTAATTATTCGACCAATGGAGAATTTGTTTGTTTTCCCGAAGTCGGTTGTTTCGCCGTGGGAAATCCGTGGAAATCAAATTTTCGTCCGATACCGAAACCATTTGCACCGGATAAAATCGACACGACATTATTTTTTTTCTCGAGAAAAAATTCAAAAGATAAAATAGATATTAAATTATATCCGAAATTAAATATGAATAATGTTAAATATAATCCGGATAAACCGACAATGATACTCGCACACGGTTTTGCAAGTTCCGGCGATGCCTCCTGGATGTTGGATTTAAAAGATGTCTACCTGAGTAAAAAAGATGCAAACGTTTTTCTGGTCAATTGGGAAAAAGGTTCCAATATGTTGAATTATCTTCAGGTTGTTGGAAACATACGAGTCGTTGGAAAACAATTGGGAATGTTTGTGAGTCATTTGATTGAAAAATACAAAGCGAAACCGAAAAAATTTCATTTGATAGGACACAGTTTGGGTGCACACATTTGTGCCTACTTAGCTAAAGATGTACCTGGAATAGGTAGATTGACAGCATTGGATCCTGCTCAACCGGGTTTCGAAGGTTTCGATAAACTCGTCAGGTTGGATAGTAGCGATGCGGAATTCGTTGAAGTTGTACACACGAATGCAAAACCGTTTCCGATTTTGGGTTTCGGCATGATGGCTCCCTACGGTCACGTGGATTTTTATATGAATGGCGGTTTCGAACAACCCGGATGTTTACCGATACCGAAAAAAGAACTTCCGCCCGTTAAAAATCTTAAGGATTTAGCTAATTTTCCAGTCGAATTAATTTCAAGAACGATTACTTGTCCCCATTCGAGAGCGTATCAATTTATAACGGAAGCTTATAATCAAACCGGAGACTGTGTTTTTTGGGGTAGGAAAACGACCATTAAAAACATGGCTAAAACTGTTATGAATCACGTTTTGCAAGAAGTTTTTGGTAAAGTATATTATTTTTCGAAAAATCGTAATGCAAATGATGGGATACCCATGGGATTCGAAACGATATCGTCACCTCTGAGGGGATCTTTTATCGTGACGACAGGACGAGAGACGCCATTTTGTAAGGCATATTTTTAAATTTTATTTCAATCAATCTCGTTATCTCGAATGCAAGATTTTATGAAAAATTATCTTTCCATAAGTTAAACATAATTAAAAAAATTTTTTTAAAGTGATTTCCGCAACGAAAATTCAATTTTCTTAACGGTTATTTACCGTATATCACAAACATAAATAACCATTTTTATTTACACCTGTAAACACTTTTTTCTTTTTTTTTTTTGCAAAATTTTATTGTTAAATCAACTCAACGAATACCTTAATATATATTTTTTTTTAAATATATAAATTTTAACGGATCCTTTAAAAACAAAACAAAATCAAAAAAAATCCTTACCTGTAACCACAAACGAAAATTTTTCTCATTCGATTCCGTTAACGACGCGACGGTGCTGCCAATTCTGTCAAAATTAAACGTGACGTCATTTCCTGTAATCATAACTGTCAATTAATTAAAAAGTAAATAAAAAACGATTGTATAATCTTTGTTATTAAGATTCAAATTATTTATGATTTTGAGAAAATACTTACAAAATTACTTTTCAAAAAGATTAACAGGAATTATCGAATGATTGTTTTTATTATTATTATTATTATTTTGATAATTTTCCTTATTTTCCCTTAATGACCGTTCCAACCACGTAAATTTCTTTTAAAAAGGCTGATCTTTCCAATAATATTTTATAACTTGCAACGTAATTTTTAACTTCGTTTGTTTCATCTAAATAATAAGTTTTTGTTAATGTCATTTAAAAAGTAAATAAATAAGGAATCTCGGTAATTAAACGCGTACCTTTTTCACTTTTACTAGCAGGCGGTGAAAATTTAATTTTCATCGTAAATTTACCATTGGGATATATCCTTATTTCATCATTATCATTTACTCCCATCAAATGAAATATTTTTAACGATTCGTTATCGTTTGTAACGTCTTTATATTTATTTATTTGATTTGAAATCGTTTCCGGTAGTTCATCCCAAAAATTATTAATTGATTTTTCTTGTGCCGTTTTTTTATTTGTTTTTTTTTTTTCCTTATCCGGACTCGATTCTTTTTTTGTCGTTTCCGATGTTTTGACAATCGTATTATCTTCCGCCACGTTTTCAACGCCTTCTTTAACGAAATTCAATACGAATTGTAAATTCAATGCTTTCGGATTCAAATTTTCCACATCGAATTTAATTTCTTCGCTTGTCCCGGATTTCGAATAAATTTTACAACAGGAAAAATTAGGTATCATTTTATATTGTGGTACTATTGCTTCACCTTTCACGGTGAGAAATAAATTTGTCGATCCGTAATGTACTTCGAAATATTCTTTTTCCTAAAAAAAAAAAAATTTATTTTACTTACTCCCTTGTTTGTAAAAAAAAAAAATTTAAACTTACAACTCCTTTGTTTTCCAACGGTGTAAACGTTAAGGGTTGACACCAAATATGTTCGGGATCAACTTCGATTTTTTTAAGTCCCACATAAGATTTAAACGATCCCACGGGATTTAAAAGACTTATAACGGGATAAATTCTTTCAAATGATATATTTTGTATTTGAATAAAAGCTCTAGCACTCGTACCGATAAAAACTTTATTAAAATTAATTTCTTGACTCGTTCCTAAATATGTAAATTTCGGTTTTACTGTCGGACATAAAAGTATTAAATTATGCGTTTCTGTTCTATCGTTTTCAGATCCGCTGTTGTTGCTGTTGCTGTTGTTTATTTTTATAACGCACGTAATTTTAGTTTCTATATAAAAAGGATTAAGTATTTCTTGAAGATTACGTTCGCCGATGAATAAATCATTTTTTTCCAATTCTAGTGAGGATGCCATTTTCGAATCATCCGTTTTAGACATTCTTTTACTTGATTTTGATGATGTTTTACCACCCTTAACTTGAGACTAAAACAAACAATTTATTTTCAATTAATTTATTTAAAATTAAAAAAAAAAAATAATTGACATTTAATTATTCAGTTCAACTCACTCCAGTAAAATCTTTTTTATTTTTATCATTTTCCGATGTTATTTTTTTTATTTTTTGTGCTTTTGATTCACGACAAAGTTCATCCATTGGAATTTCAGGTTTATAAACAATATTAATAGGTAAACTCTGGAAAGGAAAAGAGAGAAAAATTATAAAGAAGAAAGAGAGGGAAGAAAAGAGAGAGATAGAGAAAAAAAAAATAATAATAAACCTCTCCCATTTTAAAATATCCACTTTGCGGTTCGAATTTGATTTGAGGACAATAACAATTGAATTCAAAACTCGCTTCGAATTTATTTTTATTTTTTTCATTTTTCAATTTTTTATATAAACAACATGTCGAAAAACAATTATTAAATCCGTTAATGAAAAATCTATAAAGTGAAAATGATGAACAAGGAGTCGATGGCAATTGTATAACCGATGCCGATAACTGACAATTTGGTTCATAAATAATCGCCTCGCAATTAATTATATTAATTTTCCCGTGTCCCGTATTAGTCGAATAAACATCCTCCTCCCCGTCTTCTGCTTCTTCTTCTTCTCTATCTTCGTGTTCTGTTATGGAAGACAGTCCACTTTTCGTAACGTTTTGTTGTTGCACCGAATCTTTTCCACCATCGTTATTATCATTATTATCATTATTTTTACATAAATTAATTCTTTTTAAAAACGAATGTTCCGATATGTTATTTTCTCCTCCGTCCATTTTTAAATAATTACGAATTTTAATTTCTTTTTCGTATTTTTTTTCTTTTTTTTTATCTTCTTGCAGTGAAACAACATCGTAACAATCACCATAATCTTCAAATTCTCCACAATCATCATCTTCACCTTCCCCTTCCCCTTCTTCTTCTACCACTTCTTCTTGTTCTTCCAGTAAATTTTTTTCTTTATCGAAATACGATTCGCCGCCTAGTACCACGTCATTATCTTCTCCCTAAAATTTTAAATAAATTGATTTTCTACTGCCATAATATATATATAGTCTTTTTGCAAATTTTATTCAAATACCCATGTACTTTCAAAACAAAACGTTTCTTCCTCTTGTAATAATTTTTCATTAAATCCTCCATATTCGGCAATCGACGTGACTTTCACGTGGAAAATATGGCGGCCATATTTTTCCAAACCGTCGAGTACGTCAATGCTCGGACTGTACAATAAAAAAAGTTGTATTGATTCCGTTGGAAGAATACGACCGAAACCCATATTTGGTTCGATCACGACCCCCTAAAAATTAATATTTAAATAAATTAATAATTATTTAAAATAAAATTTAAATTTTAAATAAATACCTTTGGCAAATTTAAAAATCCAAATTCTTGTACTGCCAACGAATGATTTGTTAATTTTATTGACGTTCGAACTGTCTCCAACGTATTCACGATTCCAAAATCAATATAAGATGGATTTAATTCCAGAGAATAATTTGTTATTATCGCAAATACGTAAATTTTAATATCGTCCATTTTACAATTTCTACTATTAGTCGGATGAATAAATATTGGAAATTCTAAAACTTTAGAATCCATTTTGAAATATTCATTCGCATCTTCGTATAAAGTAATTCTAAAAAAAAAAAAAAAAATTTTGTTTAACAACCGGAAATCGATTAAATAAACTCTTTGTAGTAATTCGTTGCCATGACGGTTTCTCGCGTCGTTTTTGGTTCAGTTGGGAGTGATAAACAACAGGAGTTTTTTCAAAAATGGGTCCGAAAAGTAAAAAAAGTACCGCTGGAAAAACAAAAAGTGGTTCGGGTGGTGTCGTAGATGGTGTAAGCACAACGGAAATGACAAGAGAACAACTCGAACAACATGCCAATCGTCTTCGTGGAGAAATGGAAAGAGAACGTGAGGAAAGACATTTTTTCCAATTGGAAAGAGACAAATTGAGAACGTTTTGGGAAATAACGAGACAGCAATTGTTGGAAAGCAAAGCAGAACTTCGTAATAAAGATCGGGAGTTGGAGGAAAAAGAAGAAAGTCATCAAGATCAAACGAAAATGATAAAACAAAAATTAAAACATTTACTATACGAACACCAAGTCGACATATTTGATTTGAGAGCGGAAAATGTCGTCTCATTGAAATTAGCACAAGAAAATTTTAACGAACAAGAAATTGCTTTGTTACAAGATAAGAAAAATTTAAAAGAAAAATTATTTGAATTGAATAAAAATCACGATGAATTGATGAGAGGATTGAAATTGGAATTCGGTCGAAAATTGAGCGAAATAAGAAAAGAATTCGAAATGGAAAAATTAGAAATCGAATCCAAATATGAAAAACTATTGGAAAGTCAAAGAAATGAATTTTTTATTTTACACAAAATGGAAATGACGGAAGTTAACGAAAGGAAAAATAAACACATAAAGGATTTGATTGAAAATCATGAAAAATCATTCACCGAAATAAAAATTTATTACAACGACATAACTCTAAATAATTTAGCATTGATATCGAGTTTGAAAGACCAAATAAAAAATTTAAAAGAAAAAGAAGAAAGAATGGAAAAATCATTGAGAGAAATAAAGAGAGAAAATCAAGGATTGAGAGAACCCGTGAAAAATGCCAAAGAAGAATCAATCGAATTATTTAAACAATTGACTAATTATAAAAAAGATAAAAAATCATTTGCCAACGTTAAGAAAGTTTTGGCGTCAACGCAAAAAGAACTTGAGGGTCTCAAATGGGAAAAAAGTTCTTTGGAATCCGCCGTCGAAAAATTACAAAAAGAAAAAAGCGAATTGAATGATAAATTAATTACGTCCGTGTTAAAAGTACAACAGAAATCCAATTTGAAATCTTTGCTGTTGGAAAAAAAATTAAAAGCGTTGGTTGAATTATTGGAACAGAGAGAAGCGCAATTTTCCGAAATCATGACCTTGTGTCAAATCGATCCTGAAATATTATCGACCGTTAATAACAAAGTCGAAGATTTGCTCAATAAGAAAAATGCAGCCATACAAGATTTAGAATTCGAATTGGCTAAAGCGAGTAAATCTCATGATGACGTACTCAGAACCTACGACGCCATTTTAATTAAATATAATATACCTAAAGAAGAATTCGAATCCATGTTTAAAAAATTATTTTCCGAACCTGTTATTTTCGATTTGTAATTTGTACCTCCGAATTATTTTTTACCTTGGATGTAATCTAACGGAAAAATCGCAGTGAGTATTAGATTGAATTAATGTTTCCTTTGGATAAACGCGAACGTGTTTTTTCATTAATTTTGATATTTTTACACAAACTGAAAATGGTCCTTTTCCAACGTTGGTAACTTTAAACTTTGTCGAATAAACTCCGCTGTTGGCAACGCATATTTTAAAATCAATAATTTCAGGTTCGACGATTAATGGAATTTTTTTTATGTCACCGATAAGTTCGATTTTTTCCTGAAAAAAAAGGAAAACTTTAGGAAAAGTACCTTCTTCGAATTGAAAATTATTAAAAACGTTAAACTCACTTCTAAACAATTGTAACAATTTTCGAATTGAAAAATATGAATTTCTTCATGAAATCCTTTATATTCAGGTATGAATTTAACATGGATATTTTTAATAGTGAATGGTGGTACGATTATGTGATATTTTTCAGAAAATCTAAACGTTGCAAAAATATTATCTTTTAATATTTCATTAATTAATTCTTGTGAAAAATTAACGGCTTCTTGATGTAAATCCATCTCGCCGTAAATTTCTTCTTCTTCTTCTTCTTCTAACGAATTAGAATTTTTTGTTTTATCTTCTTCTTCTTCTTCTTCATCCTCCTTTTCTCTTTCGTGTATTTCTTTAATTATTTTACAAGTGCAACTTTTTCCACCGGTATTGATTATTTTTATTATTTTTTTCATTGATTTAAAATTTTCCGGATTTGTTGCCGAACACCAAGTCAATGTGGGAAATCTTTTATGCAAAAAAAAAAAAAAATTTACAATTGTACGCTTTGTCTAAATTATTAATTTATATATATTATTTACATTATTCTTAATGGCGTTATCTGAACGATTGCTCTTGCGGGTACACAAGAAACGGGTACTAAAAAATAAGAATGTTGATACGGTTGACTTCGTCTTCTCGTTTCATAAACGATCGAACAATTAATCGCATCCTCTTCGTTTGAATTACAAAGACGAATTTTCGTACAGAAAACTAATCCTGATCTGAGAATAACGTTATCCCTAACGGCTACCTGTAACGTCGTCACATATTATGTATGAAATGAGTCACATAAAAAAAAAAATTAGGGCGATTTGAGATATTTTACCCCGATTGGAAAACATCCGTTTACTTTTGTATGAACCGTTATTCCAAAATATCTGCAATGTATGGGTTCCAATCCCACATTTGTTATTTTGACAGTTTGCGTGTATACTTTATCCTTTTGATAATTCTACAAACAATAAAATCTATTAAAAGAATAATTTTATCGCGATACCCATTGAAAAATAATTTTCATTAAACGTCATTTACATTGAAAATAATACTTTTTGGAGTGCATTCGAGGCATTTTTCATATCTATCATAATTATTTGAACTTGATTTAACGTGACGGTTAAATTCTTCTTCTGATAAAATTGATTCGGTTTTGTATTTTCCAACCGATTCCTAAAAATTCAAACGGTGGTAAATGAGTTTACATTTTTTTAAAAAAAAATTTTCCATTTTCCAGGTTTTTATATTTTACCTGTGATTTACTTCTTCTTTCGCAATTAATAGGTTGTTTATTTAATCTTGTTAAATTTTGTTCCTTTTCTGTAATAAATAAATATATTAAATCCTTTTTTACGATAAAAATCATAAATAATTTAAAATTTAAATATTTACCTTTAATAATTATGTCTTCGTTTTCATCTTCATCTTCATCTTCTTCTTCATCTTTATCTTCTTTCTTTTCTTCTTGTTTGTTAAAAAAAATTAAATTTTTTTCATCGGCTAAATAAGACTCACATATTTTCGATACTTTTCTTGATTTTTTCCTTTTGGTTGGTACGACGGTGTTGAAAAGTCCTAAACATAATATATTTTACTTATAAATAATAATAATAATAATGATTTAAAGAAGAAGAGAAAAAAAAAATTCTTTCATTTCAAACCTCTCCGTTTGTATTTTTGATCATCTAATAATTTTTTTATTATCAAATAATTTTTTTCATTTTTTATTTTTTCTTGTTCTTTTTTTTTCTTTTCAATTATTTCAACTTTTTTAAGAATTTCATTGAGTGAAATTTCATTCAAACCCTCAACATTCACTTTATAATATTCTTTTATTTTATTTAATAGTTTTTTCTTTTTTCTTTCACATTTTCTTCTTGTATTTTCAACGTTCCATTGAAACAATAATTTTTTTTCATCAAAATATTTCTGCACAAAAAAAAAAAAAAAAAAAAATTAATTTTATTATTTAGCATATATATTTACATAAAAAAATTTTTTTAAGTAAAATAATATCTTACCTGATAATTTTCGACATTTTTTGTCGAATTTAAACATTTAACACTTTGTTTAATTGATTGTAATTGTTCTTTACTGGACTGAAATGACGTTTGTTTGTTATTAATAATTTTTTTTTTAACAGAGATTTCATCATCATTTTTTTTCAATAAACTACCATCATTTTCTTTTGTGGTATCCGCCATTTAAACTGAAAAAAGTCATGAAATTTTTTTAAAAATAATCATCATTAGCATGTTGTAAAAGATGCACAAATATGAAACATCATTAAAATGATATTATTATTAGTATTATTGCTCATTTAATTAAAATCAATAATATTAATAATAATAATATTATAAATATTTACAATGATAATAATGGCCAACAGTAAAAAATAATTTGTCTGCTAAATTATTTTCTTTATGAATTTAAAAACCTTGTATTATTATTATTATTATTTTGTTGTTGTTTTACAATTATTCAAATAATTTTTTTTCTCTCTCTCTCACAATTTTAAATAAATAAATTATTAGTTAAAAAAAAAAGAAAACAAGGTTTTTAAATATATAATAATTAAAATGGGACCTAAAAAACAAAAAAATCCCATCATAATAGATGGAGTTGACACATCTGTTTTATCCAGGGAAAAGTTAGAAAAATTTGCAATTGCTTTAAAAGAAGCTTTGGATAAGGAAAGAGAAGAAAGGAATTTTTTTCAAATAGAAAGAGATAAAATAAGAACATTTTGGGACATAACGAGACAACAGTTGGAAGAATGTCGTACGGAATTATTGAACAAAGAAAGACAAATGGAAGAAAAAGAAGATTCACATTTCAACGAATCGAAATTATTTAAACAAAGAGTGAAATATCTAATATATGAACATCATAAAAACATATCTGAGCTGAGAGCTGAAGGAATGCTGTCACTTAAATTATCCCAGGAAGATTTTGAAGAACAGGAAAAGGCTTTACTTACAGATAAAAAAAATTTAAAAGAAAAATTAATTGAACAACAGAAACAACATCAGGATGTTGTTAGAAATTTAAATATGAAATTCAGTGAGGATTTAAGCAATGCAAGAAATGATTTTGAAGAAGAAGTAAGAGAACTTGATTTTAAATACAAAGAAGATTTACAATCAATAAGAGAAGAATTGGCTCTTAAACATAGAATGGAATTGACTGAGGTGGATGAAAGGAAAAATAAACAAATATCTGATTTGATAAAGGAACATGACAAAGCATTTTATGAAATGAAAAACTATTTCAATGATTTAATATTAAATAATTTAACATTAATATCAAATTTAAAAGATCAAATGGAAGAAATGAAAAGTAGAGAAGATAGAACGGAAAAAGCATTGAAAGAATGTCAAAAGGAAAATAAAAATTTAATGGATCCAATGAAACAGGCCATAACTGAAAATCGTGAGCTCAAAAGACAATTATCTAATTATGGAAAAGACAAAGTTGCTTTAATTGAAGCTTTAAAAAGAGTTAACGAACTTGAAAAAGAATTGGATGATTACAAATGGGAAAATGAAGCTCTCGAATTACGATTGTCTAAAACGGAAGAACAGAAAAACGAATTTCAAGATAGTTTCTTTTCAAGCATTTTAACGGCCCAAGAACAATCGGCCACGCGAAACATATTACTCGAGAAAAAAATGAAAAATATGTTAAAACTTCTAGAACAAAGAGAAACGCAATTTTCAGAATTTATAAAATCTCACAAAATTGATCATTCGAGGTTGGGTCCGGTTAATATAAGAATCGATAAACTATTGACAAAGAAAAATGCTACAATTGAAGATCTTGAATATGAATTAGCGCGAGTTAGTAAAGCACACGAAGATGTTTTGCAAACCTTCCAAGGAAAACTAGAACAATATGGCATACCTACAGGTGAACTTGGTTTCACTCCTGTCAGAACTGCTATGCTTACATCAAAAGCTCCTGCAGGACTCGTCGCCCTTAATAAATAAATTACATTTTAACAATAATTTAACACAAAAAATAAATTTGGCAATAACTTGATATTCTTCTTACTCTATGTAATTTTTGATTTGCAAATGAGAAATTTATTTACTCTATTTCAAATCTTTTTAACGGTTTTTTATATTCGCGCTCTTGATGACGTCATAACATATCGATATTTTTTACTTGCCATCAAAATAGTGTTTATATGTAAATTTACACACAATATCAGTGATTTAGAATTTCGAAAAACTTATTAAAATAATGTTTAATAATAATTTTTAAAATAAAACATTTAATAAATTATATATTATAAAATCTGATCATTAGATAAAATCAAATATTTTTGAGAAAATTTTTTTTTTAAAATTAAAATTATTTAAATTTTATATTAACTTACACATGTTTTAACAGTGATTATATTTCTGATAGTATTAAACATTTTTTATATTATTATATTTATATTAGTTAAATATAACTGAAAATAAAATATTTTAAAAGAAGAAACTGTATTAATGTTAACAATTTTATTTAATTTTAAAATCCTGTAAAAAACAAAACCGGTTGATGTACATATAAAATAAATTTTTGGAAAACCTTTTTAATACAAATTACTATTATTATTTTTCATATAATTCAAACAGGAGTTTATTTGAAAAAGATTATAAGCATTATATAAACTTATGCTTCAAATCCTTTAAAATTAAAAAAAAATTTTTCGAATTGTTTTAATTTGAGATTTAAGATGAGTAAAATTCATTAATCACCATTACAATTTTTTTAAATAGAAAATGTATTTCAATAATTTAAAAATTTCAAGCATTAATAATAATATTTGTAGACTAAAATATATCGTCCCATTTTTTTCAAAGCAAAAACAGTGTGAAAAATTTTATGATCCATTTTATAACCTTTATTATTTAAAAATGAAGATATAGAACTATCAATATTATCAAACAAGGCAATATGAGTCGGCAAATTTTGGTTATCCCAATAATTATTTAGCCAAACTATAGGATAATTGAAAAAATCATCACTTTCATCATAACTATTTTCCTTTAATGGAGGTTCACATTCCAAAAATTTTACTGTTACATTTTGATGTAAATGACTGTATAGTGGTGTCGAGTGACAAGGCATTAAAAATAAGAATGAAGACTTTTCTTTATAAACATCAATTTCATTCCTTAAATAACTCATAAGATGAAATTGTCCTCTTTGATGAAATAATCCCAGTAAAACGGAAGGTATGAGAAAACTGAATACTGAAGTTAATATCCAAAAAAACTTCCATTTGTTTTTATTTATGTAATATTCCGATTGGAATTTTATACATAATATCATCATCTAAAACAATTTTAAATGTTTTTTAATTTGATAAATTCAAAAAAAATAACTTTGTAAATAACATTAAATTATTCTTACCAAAGGAACTAAGGGTAGTAAAAATCGAAACTCTTTATGAGGTACATTTGAGAGAATTATTAAATTAAATATTATTACGAAGACAAATATAAAAAAAATTGGATTATTTTTGTTTTTTGAAATTTTTACATCATTCCCTAAAAAAAATTCAACAAAAAAATAAGAATTTGATTGCAGAAAAAAAAATTTGATAATTATACATACTTACTAAATAAAGAAAAAATCTCTAACATGAAAGGTATTATTTGAAGCCCAAGAACGACTGGCAACCCTTGGGTAATGTACCAATAAAAAGGATGGGTACCATAAAAAGATGAAATGTTTTTAAATATGTTAAAATAAAAAAAGTTGAGTATGGGGATAACAAATTTTCCATACCAAATACGATCTATAATAATTGACAGAGGCAATGTCAAAAATACTGCAGGCAATAAACAATTAACAACAAATTTTGATTTTTCCATTAAGTTTAATTTATAAAGTTGAAAAAGTACAAGTGGACCCCATATGGTAGTTGCCGTAGGACGAATTAAACAATTAAGGCAAACAAAAATTAAATATTTTATTGTTTTTTTTTCTAAATCATTACTGGAAATCAAATTTTTTTTACTTTTCGGATGTTTTAAAAAAATATTCCAAGGGTAAAAATAAAGTGCTAAAATTGTGAGACATGTTTCTAAAGTATTAGTCAAAGTTCTTATACCGCAATAATACCAAAACCAATTTGTGAAAATGGAAAATTTGGTCCAAAATTCTTTCAATCCCAAATTTCTACATAATAAAAAAAAGTAATAATCTGATACAGCAGTTAGTATGGCTTGTAATATTTTGGGAAGTGTAATGAGAATAGGAGGGAAATCAATAGAGAAAAAATGTAAAATCTTGTAAAATACATAAAATATAAATGGGTGTAAATAACTGCGAAGACCTTCTTTCCATTCCCAAGTAAGATAGCCATACCCAAAGGCCATGTTATGAGCAACTTCTAATGATTGCCAATATTCATCGGGAGCATATGATGTCTGCACTATTAAAACAGATGATAATCTAAACAGTAAAAATGCCAAGAACGTTAAATTAATTTTTTTTTTCATTTATTAACAAACATAAATTCAACATCCATAGAAATTATAAATTTGTTTACAAGTAACGTGTCACTAAATCGTGGCAGCAGTTAAATGAATTTGAAATTTTGTATTGAAACAAAGCCTTTTGTAATATATACTTTCCCAAGTTTCTTTACATCAATAAAAAATGTAACATGGCGGAAGACGTAACTAAAACTTATAATTATCCAAAAAAAAATTCAAAAATTATTGTTAATGTTGAGGATGTATTGCCGGATATTTTAGTTGTGTCTTTTGCGTTTGATAGTAAATTATTTCAAGGAGTTTTGCTTGATTCTACGAAAAAGTAAGCTTTTTGTTCACGCCTTTTTATAAATAGTTAGCAAAGTCGCTTTTTGTTTAACTTCTGCTAATATTTCTTTTTAATACATTTTAAAAAAATATTGTTTGCTTTAATTAAATTATCTTCTGTTCAAAATTAAACTCAAATCCTTGATTAATTTCTATCGTCTAAATGATTCCAAAAAAAAAAAAGATGAGTAATCAAATCTTAGGGCGGATTTGATGCCAAAATTTTTTCACTGAAAACATGATCCAATGATGTTTTTTTAATAAATGTTAGATTTATTAATAATACGAAGCTTCAAAACTATATAATTTACCGAAAAAGGCTAAATTAAAAGAAATTAAGAGAAATTGTATACGTGACATTAAGTTTCACCAGATTTTACTACTACCAAATTACATCAAGTTGGGGTGGTGCATTTTACCTTATTAATGACGATTTTAAGAAATTTTTTAATAATTATTAAAAACTGTTTAAATTCATTGATATTATTTAAAAAATTACTACCATTAGTTAAAATATTTATACTTTAGTGAAGTTTTGATTTTTAATTGTCAAAATAACTTATTTTTTAGTAGAATGATTTCATTCAAATATTTTTTGAAGATTACAAAATCCTGTGTAACATAAAATAATGTAAAATGTTTTTTAAAAAATAAAAATCTTTTTCTTCAGTTTACATTTGTTTTTTTTTTTTAACTAAAAAATAAACTTTTACTTATAATAATACCTTAATTTTTTAGTCACCAAGTTATGACATCATTGGCAAAGAATAATACAAGGTTTTGTAACAGTATTTGTTCATTTCAGACTATTACCATGTGGTATTATTCCCCCTTCACATATCATGCCTCCTTTAGGAACAGGAACACAGTTGGAAGATACGGAAGACAAGTTATTCAGTGCAAGCCAAAGGTTTACTTATTTTCAAGACAAGCCCAATCCGGGGAATGGAAGGTTTGCATTAAAAAGAAATATTCGTCCTCCAGCAAGATTCAAAAATGCAAGAATGACAGTTCGATTACGTCCACGCCAGGTTTTATGTTCCAAATGTCGAGGTATTTGCAACGAGAATTCCGAAAACGTAGACTTTTCAACAAGAAAAAAAAAAGGTGCAGATCCTTTAGTTTCTGATGCACCTCCATCAAAACTGCCACGTGGAGATCGAAGACTGCGTTCAGCCGGGGAAATATCCCCAAGACCTATTTTTCCTGATAATTATAGGGAACAACCAAAAAAAAATAATCATTCCGATTATTCCGGGGGTAAAAATAAAAAGCTTACTCCTTCCCTTATTCCTACACTTTCAAGACTTCAACCCAGCGAAATCACTAAAGCAATGAATGGTAAAGTTAAAATAAAAATTGTCGGAAATTATTGGTTGAAAAATGATACTACTGAAAATGAAAAAAAAAACGATAATTTAATGCTTTTCGGAGACTCTAAACCCAATGTTACAGAAGAACAAGATCCTCTTTTAATACCAGTTACCGAATCAAATAAAGATAAAACAATTAGCAAACCAAAATTTATAGCTACCGAATATTCTTTAAACATTACGCCAGTTAATAATAATTTTATTGATAAAGAAAGTGAGCCTATTATTCCAGTGGAATTAGTGAAAACAGTAGAAACCGTGAATGTGGAAGGAAGTGAAGAACAAGATCCACTATGTACAGAAGATCCCCTGGCCATACTTACTAAAGATGGTGAAACAGATGCCAAAGCAGCAGCAGCAGCAGCCAATGCCAAAAGAGTACTGCGTAAAAAAAGAAGTGTTGGATCGATGGAAGATTTATGGGATGAAACCATTTTCGAGGATAAATTTTCCGACAATGGAAAAAATGGGAGCAACGTTAAATCCAGAACGACTCCAATAATAAAAATTTCATTCGGATCTGGAACTGGAGAGGGAACCGTACTTAAAATTCCAGCCAAAGTTCAAAATTACATTCCAGTTGAAAACGCAGAGGAAGATAAAGATAAGGAGAAAACAAAGAGGGACGCAAGTGCAAAAGCAGCCAAAAAAGCTTTAAAAAAAGCGAAGAAAGAAGCTAGAAGAAAAGTATTGGGAGGAACGTCGCCCGCGAGATCCATAGGCGGAGCCTCTCCCAGGTATCCTAATTTATCACCGAGGTACGCAATCAGTTGTTCTTCTCCAAGGTATGGATTGGGTGGCAACGGATCCCCGAGGCATACATTAGTAGGAAATTCGTCTCCGGCGTATGAGGTTTTACCCACTCGAAGACACAAACACAAGGTTAAACATAAAAAGCGTCACAAAGAAGAGAAAAAACACAAAGATTCGGATGCTGTAATAGTCGGGAATAATATAATTAACGTAAGGGATGGGGATAATATAAGAGAACAATGTTTAAAACAAAAACTTTCAATTAGTTTAAAAAGACTGAACGCTAATGCTTACATGAGATGTGATTCATCATCAAGTGGTTCAAAGAGTCCAAGCAATTCTGATGCATCGGACGATCCTTCGGACACGGTTCCTGATTTTCCTGGTAATTCTCTAGTTATGAGAATTCCCACGCAAACCATAACCTCTTGTCAGACGAGCGATGGACGATTAATGGCTGTCGGTGACGTGGTTTGGGGAAAAATCCATGGATTTCCATGGTGGCCTGGAAAGGTACGTTTGTACAAATTTACAGCAAACAGTTTAATAACCAATCATTAGTAAATAAAATCAAAAAAAAAAAAATTTACGTGCCAAGGTATTAAGCATCACAAAGTCATTGAAAGATGATGAAGCTTACGCGTCACCCCAGGCTCACGTTGCTTGGTATGGATCATCGACGTCCTCACTTATGTCTTGCGATCAACTTAATCCGTTTTTAGAAACTTTTCAGGTAGGGAAAAAAAATCCTGTAAAATTTAATAAAAAATTTTCTTATTTTCTTATTATAAATAAAAAAAAACTCTGACATTTCAGATGAGATACAATAAAAAAAAAAGAGGACCATATAAGGAAGCCATTAAGCAAGCAACATCAGAAGCTAAAAGAGGTGAAGGTTTTATTTCAACGGATTTATATTCATCGCCGAGTGAAGTTGACGTCGTGTCATAATAAATAAATATTTAGTCTAATATTAATAATTAATAATTAATTAATAAACAAAACAAGCACACAAAAATTATAAATTTCACTTTATACATATACATATATAGAAAAAAAAAATGACCTCCTGATCAGGAGGTTTTAAATTTTTTATAAGGTTGCCAAAGAAGGTCTGAATTTTACAATTTTTTTTTTTTTAAAGTATTATTATTATTTTATACTGATATTTTTGAAGGGAGAGGTTACTATTATTATTATTATTATAGTAAAGCTTTTATCATTAGTAATCCACACATATATATATATAAAATTCGAGCCAATTATTTTTTATTTGTATTTGCATAGCAAGCAATCAAACAAGATTTTCAACGGATATTTTTTTTCTTTTTTAATTTTTTTTAATTTTTTATTTTTAATAAAATACTTAAGCGATTACTTTATTTAATCAATTTTTTTGTTATTTTTTTATACATATATACAAATCCGCAATAAATAAAAAATAAATAAACTACATAATCTGCATTCATGTTTATGTAACAAAAGAAAAAAATTGATTTTATTTATTATTTATCAAAGACTTATTATTATTATTCTTCAGTTAAAGTAAAAAAAAAAAAAAAATTAATTTTTCGTTAGTGACAATAATAATAATAATAATAATAATAATGAATTATTTTTTAAAATGATTAATAATAATGATCTGTGATCATATATGAAAAAAAATTTGTTTTTTGAAAATTTTACACATAAAAATAAAATATAATTGTTTACTACTACTTCTACTACTACTACCACTACCACTACCACTACTACTACTACTCCTGTGTAATATATAAAAAAAAAAAATTTTTTTTCAATTATTTTTTTGTACCTTTAATCTTAAGTATTTTATTTAAATCAAACCGTTACATGTTTTTTATTGTTTTATTATTATTATTATTTTTTTTTTTTTTGTATAATTACGCTTATTTATAAAAAATATTTAAGACATTTTGTGTTAATATATAATTTCACCGAAAAATGTTTTTAAAAAATTATTTTATTTAAATAAATTAATTGTGGAAGAAAATTTTTTTTTTTTGAAATTATTTTCTTACTATAAATTTTTTAAATTTAACAATAAAAAAAAAATACGTATCACGATTATTATTATTATTATTATTATTAATAATATATTTTTTGGTGATAAAATATATAAAAAATTGGTGGTGAAAAAAAAGATAAGGGTAATTAAAAATTTATATTAAATTTTATTAATTAATTAATTACAATACTAATATAAATTTATATACTGTAAAATTTGAAATATTATATATATATATATATATATATATATATATATATATATATAAATAGAAAATTTAAATTTTATTTAATTTTTTTTTTATCCTTATTTCAAATTTTGACCGTTATTTTTAAAAAAAAATGAAAGAAGAAAAATTTATCGAGTACTACAACACTTATTATAGGTTTGAAATAATTATTTAAAAGTCACTAACAACTTATCGGTTAAATTTTTTTTTTACATTTATTAATTAACTAATGGAAGACCATAATCAATCAAATTTACAAATTATTTTAAGTATTAATGGCAGTAAGTTTTCATCGATTATCATAATTAAATTATTTAAACAATGATTGATTTAATAAAAAAAAAAAAAAGAACATAAACATTATTTAATTTGCTTTTCTATAATAATTGACTAATTTTTATTATTATTATTTTAATTATTACAATTAACAATATTTATTTTTATTGTCTCGATTAAATCATACAAACTATTCCATCAAATTTGAAAACTTAAATAAATATAAATTTTTTTTCTCTTCATCCCCCCTATTAAATATTTTTTATAAGAAATAAATTATAACAAAAGTGATAACAAAAATAAAAATAAATAAATAAAAATTTTAATATGAACAAATACATATTTACTTATAAATAATTACAAATCGAAATAATTTTTAATTATGTACATAATGTCTTTTTGTTTTTTGTTTTCGGTAACTCAACTTTTTTCATTTAATACAATAAAATAAAAGTAAAAAATAATGAAAAAATGTCTCCTATACTGTTTTTTAAAGCAGGTAAAGTTTTGTTTTTTTTTTTAATTATGTATACATTTAATTGAAATAAATAAATATTTAATTCCTTTTAAAAATTTTTTACATAAAAAGCTTAATTAATGTGCGGCATCTCAAACGTTCTCAATAAATAAATATATAAAATACAAAAGAAATAATAATAATAATAATAATAATGATTTTCCATTATTTTGAAACTTTTCTTTCGAAATGAAACATTAAGTGTGTAAATATTATCAATTAATATTTGCATGTTTATTTTTTAGGAGCAGAGGATTTTCTTACAAGTAAAAAATTACACTTTTTAAATAGTATTAATAACAATGACTACAACAATAATGATAGTTTTCCGATAACAATTCTAAATTTCTCCACTACAAATAATAAATTTAAATATAATCTTAGAGACCTTTGTTAAAATACATTTTAGTTGGATAGGGTTGTTCTATATTTTTTTTCAATTTTTCTATGGCTGATGATTCGTATTTCTGTAATGTGCAGTATGATATTTCGCTAAAAGTAAAAAATATATATATATATATATTGATAAAATTAGATTAAAATTAAATTTTTTTTTTTTTTTAAATAATTTATTTGACTAACCATTTTTGAGGGAAAAGTCCACAAGCAATCGGTACCATAAAAATTAATCTAAGAAAATAAAAAATTTTAACAAATGATTTAATTAGTTTTGCACAGTCTGAAAAAAAAAAAAATTTTTTTCTTATTGTTCGAACTTACGAAAGTCCAGCTGCAAGCACTTGAACAGGACCTTGAATATTTGGATATTTACAAAACAATGGTTTAGACTGAATTTTTTCCATTATAATGGGAATGACAGCTTGTGAAAAAAGAAAAAAACAAATGTAAATTTTAAAAAAACAGCGATTACATGTAAAAAAAAAAAAAAATTCTCTCAACTTACTCATTCCTGGAAATGCCATAAATATTCTGGAAAATACAACCTGAGAAATACCCTTAGCAGCAGCTAGTTTTGAATCTGTAACATAATTTCCATTTTCATCCATCAAAGCAATTCCATTAATTAATTCTCCTTGTCTCATAAGAGGAATGTTCACACAATTTGCAGCAGCCACAGCCACAAATGGAACATATCTCTACAATAAAAAATTTTCTAATGATCAAAACCTTTGAACCATATAAATATATATATATATATATTTTTCTTCAATCATTAAAATACCTGAAAAAGTGGATTGGCTTTATTGGCTAAATATTTTTTGCAACCTAATGCTGCTACCAGGGCAGCACCAGTAGCAGAAACATAAGCAGTTACCAACTGAGTTGTAGACACAGGTGATTTAGCATTACGATTAGTAAAATTGACTAATGCATTAAACGATTGATTAACCCATTGCCAAAAAATAATTGCAGTTGATGTTCTAAATTAAAAATAAAAAAAAAAATTCCGAGTTTTATTCGAAACAATATGTATTATGGTAACTAAATATGTAATATTTAGTTTTCTTATCTTGTTTTGTTGTCAAACAAAATTAGACAAATAACCAAATTGTTATGTAAAATAATTACACAATAAATTATTGTTACATAATGGGAGCACAGTAAATTACAATAATTACTATAAAAGTACAAAAAAATTCTATAAAAATTGACATAAAAAAAATGCATAATTTATATACACATCTAAAACTAACTTATAAAATTGAAGCATAGCTCCAGTAATTAACATTCCGCCAGGAACCTGAAAGGACATTCTTCCAAACAAATTTTGCTTTTCTCCGGTATCAGGATGAAAGCTAGATTCGTAAAGTTTTTTAGCATAAATAACTTCATCCATAGATGTGCCTTTTGGCTCATTTTGATTTCTAAAAAATAAGTATTAAAAATTTTACTTCAATTTTTAAATTATACTGATTAGAATAAATAAATTATAAATTATTATTACTTATATGCATTATATAATTCTTTTGCTTTTTCTAGTTTTGCATCAGAAGTAAATACGGTTCTTGGATCAGTGATAAAAGCAAAATGCTTAACTCTTCCAAAAAATGTACTCTGATCCCAAAGTGGCTGTGTAATATCAATTCTATCAGAAGCCATAACTTAATTATTGTTGTTTTTAATTCTGACGTCTAACGTTATCACAAAAAAAAAAAAAAAAAAATTATCATTACGATAAATAACAATAATAAAAAAAAAAAGCAGTAAAAAAATTCTGTAAAATAAATAAAATTAAAAATAAATAAAAAAATGCAAAGTTTGTACCTTACATAAAAATTTTTTTTTTTACTCAATCAATGTCAACAAATTTGATAAAAAGGAAAATAAAAAGAAAAAATCAAAATCAAGATCGATTTTTACCAATTCCATTTAAATAGCACAAATATTGAAAAATAAAGAGCATCGTGTAACTACAATTATTTAAATAAAAAAAAAAAAAAACAAAATAAACTGTGATAAAAACTACAAAACAAAATGTTTAAATAAAAAAAAAAAAAAAAAATATTTAATAAAAATAATTAAAGACAAATATACAATAAACATACATTTTCAGTTATAAAATAAATAAATGAATAATTTCTTTCCAAGTAGAAAACTTCTGCAATTAACTTTTACCAACATAAGAAAATTATAATTTTTACGAAAGTTTTGCCAACATAAAATTTAACAAATGTTAAATTTGTTAAATTCAATATATATATATATACAATAGTGTAAATGTGTGAATTTTTATATGAATATCAATATGGATGATAATCCCACTGAATGGTTTCAATCGAAAATATTAGAATTGGAAGATGATTTAAAAAAGCAAGAAGTTTTGCTTGAATTAAAATCTGTAGTTATGAATTCGGAAAATTCTGTTTTGTACGGCATTGCTCAGCAAGTTTCTTTACATCAAGTTTTTAAACATTTAAATAAATCCGATAAGAATGATATCGAAGTTATTTGCATAATAATATATGAACTTCTAAAACAATTAACACCTCAAGAATTACTTAAAAAGTACAGCGATGAGATCGATGATACCTTAAAACACAATTCTAACGATGTTAAAAAAATTGGTTTAAAGCTATTGGAAAAAAGTATTACTGATGAGACAATCGAATACCTAATTAAAAGTCACATTTTGTTATTCATAAATGTTATCGAATGTTTAGCAATAAGTGAGAGGAGTACTGCACAATGCGCAATATCGGCGTTAATTAAACTGGGCTCCAATTTGAAAGGTTTAGAAACATTATACTCTGAATTACTTTGTCAAAAACTCCAAAAAGTTATGTCTAAGAATGATATATCAAGATTTAGAGTTTATGAAATTGTTGTCGGAGTTTCAGAAATTTCTTCAGAACATTTGTCTGCTTCTACTTTTTTACTAAAATATTTAGTATCCGATGTTTATTCATCCGATCTTTTGAAACAATTAAATGCTTTTGAAATTTTGTCTAATTTGGCTAAAACTAATCACGGTCTAAATTATTTAGTCGAGTGTAATGTTGTTCAAAAATTAGTCAACAAACTTTTATATATAAATGAAGAACCACTTTCTTACATGCTTTTACCAGGATTAATAGAATTTTTTGGAAATATCTGTATTCAGCAACCTGAAAGTTTTGTGAAAGAATATCCACAAGTAATGTCTCTTCTTTTTAATAGCTTGAATACTGATGATCAAATAGTGATAGGAGTTATTATTATTACTGTTGGTAAACTAGGTTCAACTTGCAGTGGAAGAAATGTTTTAATTCAATTTCCAGAACAAATGAATGGATTTTTTAAAAAATGTTCAGAATTTTTAAGCACAAAAAGCGATATTACAATCTCAGTGTTAAAAACGTTTGGAGAATTATTGAAAAATATTGAGGGCAATTCAGAATGCAATGAAGTCACAGAAAGTTGGTTAAATGCAATGGATTCTGATGCATTCGACAATATAACTTCTTTGGCAAAATTTCCATTTCCAGAATTCAAATTGGCAGCTCTTTCATTTTTACTATCTATTACCACTCACCAATGGGGTGTTGTAAAATTATGCAATTCCCCAGGCATGATTGAATTTTTATTAGATAGATCTTCAGAAATTGATAAAGACTGTAAGCAAATGAAATATGACATAATATGTAATATAGTTCAGTGTAAAAATGTAGAACAATTTTTAGTACCGGAAGTTTTACAAAGTTTAATGGAATTTGTGCAAGAAGGACCTTTTCATGTGCCCTTAGAAGTTGAACTGAGTACTGAAGGTGCCACTTAATACCTTTAAATTATTTATTCAAATTATAACATAAAACTTATACAAATATAATTTTTTTTAAAATTTCTGTTAAATTTCAAATAATATTAATATATATATATATTATAAAATTTATTTATTTTAAGTTGTTTATTTATTTAAATTATTAAAAATTCATTTTGAATAGATAAAAATCATCAAAAAGCTTTTCTTTTTTTTCGACATGGACTAAGAGAAGTTGTATTATTATTAATTCTTGATTGTTTGGGTGTGATCCCTTCAGGTAAGTCCTCTAAAAATGACTCACATTTTAAACAGCAAGGATTTATTTGAGAATGAACATATTTTTTCAAACAAAAGAAGTGATATTTAACATTACAATTTATACAATTGTATCCCTAGAAAGAAAAAAATTACAATAAAAAGTTTATGTTAGTAGCATTTTAATTTAATTTTGAAATAAATATTTTATTAAAAAAACTTACTTGTAATATAATTTTCCTACAAAGAGTGCATGTTTTAATAATCTCACTGTAACAATGTTTAATATCCTGTTCTAATTCAATAATTGTTCTCATCGATAAAGAAATGGTTCCATTCTAAAAAAAATTTTTAAGTAAATAATTCCTACATAACTAATATTTGCATCAAATAAATCAACATATATTAACAATATTAAATAAAAATTTGGAAAAGTTAATTCGATAAATAACTAACCCTAGAATTTAGCCATTTGTCTTTTATCAAATTATTCAGACAACTTTCAGCTGAAGTTTTTGACAGTCCAACATCGACACTTAAGTTAAGACAATGAGTTTCTGTAAGAAACCCTTCTTCAGAGGAAATACAATTGTTAATAATTTCAGAAAAAAATTGAAGGGTAGTTTTATCATGATATTTTGCTTTCCTAAAATAAATTAATTTTTGTATTAAGTTGAAATTATTACAATGAAATTATTCAATCAATATTTTTTAGCTCTAATCGGATAAAAACTTAATAATAATGGTAATTTAAAATTTTTATGATTAATTGTAACTGCAAATTTATTTAAACCTATTTTATAAGGCGTTTTAACTTTTTATTCAAATTTTTTTTTTTACTTTGAATCTTCTACTTTTAACTCTACGTAAAAATATAAAAAACAACACAAGTAAACATAATTTATAGATACAAATTTTAAATTATTTTTTTTAAAAAAACCTATTATTAATTTGAATGATTTAGGAATAAGAAAAACGTTTTTTTTTTTTATACTTACTGCGTTATTTCATCGTTTGTAGTATTAACAAGAATCAAAAGTTTTTCAGAGGTAATTTCACAAAAACATTCTACAATTTCAAAATCATACTGTTTAATAACTTTATTCAGTGAAAATATTTCATTTGCTAAATTATGATTATCTACGTTCGTATTCATAATCTCTTTTAGAACATCTAAAGCTTCGGTTTTTGTCGTCACATATACAATTTTAAAATAATTAAATAAATGTTGTTGAGCAACTGTCAATTCCATACTTTAACTCTTGTTTAAAAATCAATTAACGGTAGCAAAATTCGAGCCAAAATCATTATAGTAGAATGAAGTTGTATCTGATCAATACTACCAACCAAAAAATTTTTTCAAAGACAACAGCGGTTGTGAACAATACCGTATAGTAAACGTACGTTGGATTTGTTTATCGGCTAGTAATTCATAATTATCAAAATGCCCCGTATTATGATAAAAGGTGGTGTTTGGAGAAACACCGAAGTAAGTATTCTTTAATTTTTATTGCAGAAGCCCTTTTAACGATTTTTATCATTAAAATAATACTATCCTAAATTTAATATCAATAAAAAAAATTATTGTCCTATGTAATAATTTTCAATATAATTTAATTGAAAATTAATTAATTTACATATATAATATTTTGTCTTTTATTACTTCTTTAAAGTAATAGAAATTTCATTTTTAATATAATACATATTATACTAAAAATCGCTATTTGCAGGACATTAATTTAAATTTTTAGTTATTATTTTTTCATTCGCATCAATTTAGTTATACATCCCTTCATAATAAAGCTACTGTATATGCTTTTCTAATGAAAGTTGTAAATTTAAAAATTTAACTTGAATTCTGATTTTTCAAAAAATTATTGCTGAAAGTTATTGTAGTAAAGAAGGAATCGCTTTAGGGTACATTGTTTTGTTAATGTTTTTTCATTCAAATAATATAAATGGAAAACAAAAAATCACTTGAATTATTTCAAAACTTTTACTTCCAATTTTTTAAAACAGATCTTAAATAACCAGCTCCTTTACATACTAAAATGTAATTATATATATATTATAAAAATATTATATGTATAATAGTACATTTATAATACAAGGGAAAAATTTTCTTCAATTTAAAAAAAAACTTGATGAAGTTAAAAATTATTTTAATTGAAATTTTAGGATGAAATTCTTAAGGCTGCTGTTATGAAATATGGAAAAAATCAATGGTCAAGAATTGCATCTTTATTACACAGAAAATCAGCCAAACAATGTAAAGCTAGATGGTATGAATGGCTTGACCCGAGTATTAAAAAAACAGAATGGAGTAGGGAAGAGGATGAAAAACTTCTTCATTTAGCTAAACTAATGCCTACCCAGTGGAGAACTATAGCACCAATTATTGGTAGAACAGCTGCCCAATGCCTGGAAAGATATGAATATTTACTGGATCAAGCTCAAAAAAAAGTAATGTATTTTAATTAAAAGGAAGGATGATAAAAATTTCGCTTAAATTTTGTTTGAATGTGAACTAATTTTTACTTTTAGGAAGAGGGAGAAGATGCTGGTGATGATCCGAGAAAACTAAAACCTGGAGAAATTGATCCCAATCCTGAAACAAAACCAGCTCGTCCAGATCCGAAAGACATGGATGAAGATGAACTTGAAATGTTATCTGAAGCAAGAGCTAGATTAGCTAATACACAAGGAAAAAAAGCCAAAAGGAAAGCCAGAGAAAAACAATTGGAAGAAGCTAGAAGGCTTGCTGCATTACAGGTTTGAATTTTTCAAACATTTTTTTTTTAAACTAACTTTTAAATATTACTTAATTTAATATTTATTTGTATTTTTGATATTGAAAGAAACGAAGAGAACTTCGTGCAGCTGGAATATATCTTTCATCATTTAGAAAACGTAAAAAAGGAGTGGATTATAATGCTGAAATTCCTTTTGAAAAAAGACCAGCTTTAGGTTTTTATGACACTTCTCAAGAAACAATGGATGCTTCAGAATTAGACTTTAAAAGCCTAAGGCAGCAACACTTGGATGGAGAATTAAGGTTTTTTTTTTGTCGTACTTGAAAGTATTAAATGTGCGTGCTGCGTTGTACATGATAAAAATTTCTTATTAATCCTTCCAGATCAGAAAAAGAGGAAAGAGAGAGACGTAAAGATAAGCAGAAATTAAAACAAAGGAAAGAAAATGATATGCCATCAGCCATGTTGCATGGGCAAGATCCTGTGAAAAAAAGAAGTAAATTAGTTTTACCTGAACCACAAATATCTGACCAAGAACTTCAACAGGTCGTAAAACTGGGTAAAACAAGTGAAATGGCCAGGGACGTAGCTAGTGAAAGTGGAATTCAAGCTTCTGACACTCTTCTCACTGATTATTCATTGACGCCTGGGGCTGGCGCTGTGACACCAAGAACTCCAGCTTCACAAACAGATAGAATATTGCAGGTGCAAATAGTTTAAATAAAAGCCACGTAAAATTTTTATTAAGAAAGTTAATCTACTGCACTTGTCATTTTTCAGGAAGCGCAAAATATGATGGCATTAACACATGTCGACACACCTCTAAAAGGAGGTATCAATACTGAATTACAAAACACCGATTTCGGAGGCATAACTCCACGAAAAGAACTTATCACGACTCCTAATACAGTTTTAACACCTTTTCGATCTCATCATTCAGACGGTATTCTTCTTCTAAAAAAAAAATTAATAATTTTTAAACAGCCACCATGTTACCAATTAAAATAAATATTTTAAAAATTTTTAGGACGTACACCAGGATCGGGATTTAATACTCCTGCTACAATAGGAACTGGTACCAGTGGTATAGGTACTCCTCTTCGAGACAAATTAAGTATTAATCCAGATGGTTTGGACGGTAGTGAAACACCCCTTGCTTTAAGGCAATCGAAAGAACAGCTTAGAACGGGTTTAAGTCTTTTGCCGGCTCCCAAAAATGATTATGAAATTGTTGTACCTGAAGACGAAACGGTGGAACCAGCTCAGCCAGATAGTGCTACCGTAGAAGATCAAGCAGATGTCGACGCCAGGTTTCTCGCAGAGCAAAAAGCCAAACGTAGGTTTTCGTTTTGCTAAAAATAAGGCGGTTACAAAAAAAAAAAAAACATTTTTGCTATAAATAAATATATTTCTTAAATTTAAATTCAGGTGAAAAAGAATTGAAAAGTAGATCTCAAGTGATTCAAAGAGGATTTCCTCGTCCAAATGACGTCAATATGACCGTATTACGACCTCCTTACAACGATTCTCCATTAACCGATTTGCAAAAGGTATAAAATAAGTCAAATTTAAAATACGATTACCATAAAAATTATTTTAATCTTTTTTTTTTTTTTTTCCTTTAAGGCTGAAGAATTAATTAAAAGAGAAATGATTACCATGTTGCATTATGATGCGGTTTTTTCACCAATGTCGTTGCCGGTTGCTCATAAACGTCAAGTTTTAAATCAAGCACAACATTTGGCTTATTTAGAACAGTATCCCTACCACAGTTATTCTCAACAAGATTTAGACAAAGCCAAGGAAGTTCTAAAAAAAGAAATGGAAGTTGTTAAACATGGAATGGGCCATGGAGAACTTTCTTTAGAGTCGTATACTCAGGTTTGGGAAGAGTGTTTGGCACAGGTACGATTTGTAAATATAAACCTGTAACTTATATTTTACTGTTTTTTTTTTTTTTTTGAATTTATCATTTTATGTTTGGGTTTAGGTTCTTTTTCTTCCATCTCAAAATCGTTATACGAGAGCAAATTTAGCAAGTAAAAAAGACAGATTAGAATCATTGGAAAAAAGATTAGAACAAAATCGAAATCACATGACGAGAGAAGCTAAAAGAGCGGCAAAAATGGAGAAAAAATTAAAAGTTTTGACAGGAGGATATCAAGTAAGTAGTATACATTTTTTATATTTCATTTATTATTATTATTATGATTTCTAATGAAAATTTTTTATTCGCAGACAAGAGGTCAGGCATTGATTAAACAATTGCAAGATTTATTCGATCAAACGGAACAAGCTTATTTGGAGTTGTCAACATTCAAATTTTTAAAATTGCAAGAAGAAGCAGCTATTCCACGAAGAATTCAGGTAAATTAAAAACTTTTGTCATAGATTTTCTAAAAAATGTCGTCGAGGATTAACAATAATTTTTAATTTTTTTAGGCTTTGACCGAAGATGTAAATAGGCAGGTAGAAAGAGAAAAGGCATTACAAAAAAAATATGGAGAACTCAAACAAAAATTAGACGATTTAAAAATTGAAAAGATTTTTTAATTAGAAACGATAAAAAAATTATTATAAAAAATATGTAAAAGAAAAAAAGAAATTGTAATTTATGACTATATTTTTGCTTCTTCTTCATCTTCATAAAGAACAACTTTTCTATTTGCATTTAAGTAGATTCATTTTCAAAAAAAAAAAAAATTTCATTTAGATCTATTGGATTTGAAAAATAATAATAATAATAATAATAATAATTAAATGTGTGAATTATTATTTGTTAAATATGTACTGATGTGAGAAAAATAAAGGTAAATGTTGATAAAAGTTAAATTTTGCATATTTTTCCACCCAAATATTAAAAACTTTTTTATAGATTTTTTGATATCAACTATTTTATTTTCTACCAAGGTAATTTAACACCATCATATTGAATAAAGTTACCATTATTCTGTTCTGTTAAGGTTTCAAGAGTTTTTAACATTTCTTTAACGCATACATCGACATCGAGAGGAGCATTTTTACCACCCAAATCAGTTTTGCACCATCCAGGATGTATGCTTGTAACTAATATATTATCTTTTTTTAAATCAGCACTCAATGACCTGGTAGCTATATTCAAAGCAGATTTACTACAACGATATGGATAAAATCCACCATCATAATTTTTTTCAATAGAGCCTAAAATGGAACTAATGTTAATAATGGCTGCTCTAGAGATTCCTATTGGTAAATTATGATTTTTTTTCGAAGCTTTTTTTAATAAAGGAATATGAGCTTTAGCTAGCATAATAGGAGCAATAGTATTTACTAGAAAATTTTCTGAAAGTTGTTCAACTTTCACTAAATTTATTCTTGTAAATTTTGTCGATATTCCAGCATTATTTATAAGAACATTCACACCATTTTCCCCAACCGTATCTGATATTTTTTGAATCATTGGCTCGTACGCATCAAAATTTTTTAAATCTATTTCAATTATATGAATATTTTTATTTTTATCGGCTAAATCATTTAAAACTTCCGCTTTTTGTTTATTTCGGCATGTTGCAAATATATGCTCGGGGGGTCTTGGAAGGTTTAGTAATTGTTTAACAAAACCTAAACCTATTCCCCTGTTACATCCAGTGATAACTACTGATTTCATTTTTCTCTGTAAAATTAATAAAATCAAAATGAATCCTATTTTAAATAAATAAAAAAAACTTTGATTTCATCAATTAGTGACTTACAACTTAAATTAATAAACTGTTGTAACTTAAAAATTAATTTCAAATTATCAATGACCCGATCGTAAAAAAATATTTTTTCAGTCTATAGATGATTACGAAGTCACCGCCTTCTTGAAAAAAAAATTTATGTACTCTAAATTAAATACTGGAGTTTCGCCTATATTTTTTATATGACGTTATTCAATGAATATTTTTTGTATGGTTAATGAGTCACAAATAATGAGTATTTGATTACTGTTTAGTCCCACCCGAATGAATAGTATTATTTATTATTAAAGTACTGATTCCTATTTTTATTTTAACTTTTTTAAGTAAGTACCTTTTAATTTAATTTAATGTAATTTTTAATATGAAGTAGTATTGCAATAATAATAATAATAGTAATACATTAGTGTGTTACTTTCGGTGTTACACTACTGGTATTCATTAGAATTATGGTATTATTCTTATCTATAATTTTGACATTTATAATTTATTTTTAATATATTTTATGTAATAATTTGTAGTAAGTATGTGAATTTTTTTGTTAAACAGATTTATTCATATTAAGATACAAATTTATAATTTTGTTAGAGCACTATGACAGAACATTTTGGAACAATCGCCCCAAAATGGGATCCAAAACGCCTAGAAATTCGGACAATGTCTGTAGAGAAAACTCTAGAGCCTTTAGTTTTTCAAGTAATTTTTTTTTATTTTTATATATTTTATTAGCTTATACTTTATTAAAATTACATTTGTAAAAATAAATATTTGTTATTAAGGTGACAACACTTGTTGACACGACCGGACCCTCAAAAAAGAAAAAAGGACGATCCAAAAGGGCACATGTATTGGTTGCTGCCGTGGAAAAGGCTACTGAAAATTTTATCGAAAAAGGAGGTATTATAGCATATGAAAATCCAGATATAAAACAAGAAATGTTGGCTGCAGTCGAGGAAGTTAGAAAAACAGGCACTTAACAATTTACATTAAATTATATTATTTTAATTATTTTTTCAAAAGTCATGAAACCTGTTTGATTGTGTTTAGGTGAAGCAATGTCATTAGCAGCTAGAGAATTTGCAGATAATCCTTGTTTGTCTGTCAAAAGAGGAAATATGGTGAGAGCAGCCAGAAATCTTTTGTCAGCAGTTACACGTTTACTTATTTTAGCAGACATGGTCGATGTGCATTTGCTCTTAAAATCTTTAAGAGTGGCGAGTATTTAAAAATTTTTACCTTCTTTAAAATCAATGTTATAATGTTCTACATTAACAACAAGAACTGCATTTAATAATAATTAAAACTCTTAAAATAATTAATTAATTTAAATTCCAGGTTGAAGACGATTTAGAAAAAGTCAAAAATGCTACGAGTCACAGTGAACTTGTAGACAGTATTAGAGCGTTCGGTAAAAATGCCTCTGAATTAATGAATCTTGCTGCCAAGAGACAACAGGAACTTAAAGATTCTCATTTACGAGATGACCTTGCAGCAGCACGCGCCGTATTGAAAAAACATTCTACTATGCTTTTAACTGCGTCCAAGGTTTACGTACGTCATCCTGAATTAGCAGCTGCAAAAGCTAATCGTGATTACGTTTTCAAACAAGTTTGTGAAGCTGTAAACACAATATCAGACGTCGCACAAGGAAAAGGTCCTAGCAGACATGGGCCTGGGGAATTAGCAGCAGCTTTGGACGAATTTGACGTAAATTTTTTTTTTTTTAAAATTTTATTACGTAATGACGTAAGTAATCATTAGTGAGATTTCAAATTGAATTTGGTTGATAGGCGAGAATTATTATGGATCCGTTAACTTACAATGAAGTACGTCTCAGACCTTCCTTGGAAGAACATTTGGAGAGTATAATTAGCGGTGCTGCATTAATGGCTGATTCTTCTTGTACAAGAGATGAAAGAAGGGAACGAATAGTGGCCGAGTGTAATGCAGTGAGACAAGCATTGCAAGATTTACTTTCAGAATATATGTCTAATGTAAGTTACATTACGTAATACTATTTAAATTCTTCCATATTTTTTTTTTTTTTTTTTTTGTAATTAAATCTAAATAAAATTATAAAAAATTTTATCCAGATGGGAGTAAAAGAACCGAGCGAAGGTTTAGAAAGAGCAATAGATAACATGTGTAGGAAAACGAGAGATTTAAGACGTCAGTTAAGAAAAGCCGTGGTCGATCACGTGTCTGACAGGTAAAATGAAATTAATTCGTATAAAATGAGTAGGTTGTTCACATTTAAAAAAAGTTGTATTTAAATTTTATTATTACAGTTTCCTGGAAACGAACGTGCCACTTCTCGTTCTCATAGAAGCAGCAAAAGCTGGAAATGAAAAAGAAGTTGAAGAATATTCATTGGTTTTTACCGAGCACGCTAATAAACTTGTCGAGGTGGCCAACCTGGCTTGCAGCATGTCGGGTAAGGAAGATGGAGTTAAAATGGTTCGTTACGCTGCGGCTCAAATCGAAAATTTATGTCCACAAGTGAGATGATTACTTATTAAATGGATTTTTACCGTTGGAAAATAATTTTTTTTATAAATTGACTTCACACCAAATCTATTATTTCAGGTAATAAATGCTGCACACATTTTGGCAGCTAGACCAAGATCAAAAGTCGCGCAAGAAAACATGGACGTGTTTAAAGACGCATGGGAAAATCAAGTACGAATTTTAACGGAAGCTGTCGACGACATTACAACCATAGATGATTTCTTGGCCGTATCCGGTATATATTTAAAAACTTTACACGTTTTTCACGAACGAAATTTTTTTACTACGAAACATTTTATTTTGTTTTGTTTTTGTAGAAAATCACATATTGGAAGATGTCAACAAATGTGTTTTGGCATTACAAGAAGGGGATGCGGATACGTTGGATCGTACTGCTGGCGCAATCAGAGGACGATCATCGCGAGTTTGTAATGTTGTAGGTGCGGAAATGGATAATTACGAACCTGGAATATACACGGAGCGCGTACTGGAAGCCGTTAAAGTATTAAGAGACCAAGGTATGCTTACCGAAAACTTTCCTTTTTGTTTTGCGTTTTATTCACTTTCTCTTTTTAATTTAAATTTAAAATTTTAGTTATGCCAAATTTCGCGCAAAGAGTTGAAGTTGCCGTCACTGCATTGTCATCAAATCCTAACAAAGATGTCGACGAAAATGAATTTATCGACGCATCTCGTTTGGTTTACGACGGTGTTAGAGAAATTAGACGAGCCGTACTTATGATAAGAGTAAATTCCTTATTTTATATGTTTTTTTTTTGTTATTATTTAATAATAAATCGGAGATTTATTATTAATTTTTGTTTTTTTTTTTTTTTTTGCAGACGGATGAGGAACTTGATCCCGATGATGTCGAATTTGATGATCATTATATATACGAGACGAGAAGCAAATGTAATTATTATTATTATTATTATTATTAGTATTATATAGACAAAAAAAACCGTAAACCGTAAACAATTTTTTTTTTTTTTTTCGTTTTTAGCAAGCGCTCACACGGGTGATCCACACGGAATCGACGAATATCCCGACATAAGTGGAATCACAACAGCAAGAGTTAGTTTTTTTGTCAATTTATATGTTTAATTAAAAGTTACGGGGGGGGGGGTGGTCGTTTTTTTCTAACGATGATGTTTTTTGATTATTTTTTTTTTTAGGAAGCCATGAGAAAAATGACGGAAGAAGACAAGCAGAAAATAGCTCAACAGGTTGAAAATTTCAGGAGTGAAAAATTAAAATTTGATTTAGAAGTTGCCAAATGGGACGATGCGGGTAACGACATTATATTTTTAGCCAAGCACATGTGCATGATAATGATGGAAATGACTGATTTTACCAGGTACGACGAATTGTTTGTTAATTGTTAAAAATTGAATATGAAACATTTGACAAAAATTATTATTATTATTATTATTATTATTATTTTCATTCAAGGGGTCGCGGACCTTTGAAAACGACCATGGATGTTATAAATGCTGCCAAGAAAATTTCAGAAGCGGGAACGAAATTGGATAAGCTAACGAGACAAATTGCCGATCAATGTCCGGAATCGTCAACGAAAAAAGATTTACTGGCTTATTTGCAAAGGATCGCTTTGTACTGTCACCAATTAAACATAACATCAAAAGTAAAGGCTGACGTACAAAATATTAGCGGAGAATTGATCGTTTCAGGGGTAAGCAAGTGGCAAGTCTCCTCGGGGATAAATTGTCACGATTTTGTGAGAAAAAAATATAATTAATATTTATTGACTTACCATTTTGTTTTTGCAGTTGGACAGTGCGACATCATTAATTCAAGCTGCCAAAAATTTAATGAACGCCGTTGTTTTGACGGTGAAATCTTCTTACGTTGCTTCCACTAAATATCCAAGACAGGGAACGGTTGCTGTAAGTAAAATTATTATTATTATTATTATTATTATGGTTTGATAAGAGAATTATATAATTAAACGATGAGCAAAGAAAGATAAAATGATTGTTATTGTAGGAATGTCTTAAAAACGAAGGTATAATGGAATACAATACTCCATATTTTTTTTTCCCCGTCACCGATAATTATTCGATTCTTTACGAAGTCAATTTGGTATTTTCTGATTTTTTTCTTTTTTTTTAATTAAAAATATTTAACCCTAGGTTTGAGAATAACCTGATTTTTTTTTTTTTTTTCTAAATCAAAATCGAGAGAGAGAGAGAGAGAGTTTTTGTGTTTTTTTTTTTCATTAACTTTATTGTCGTGGGAAAAATTTTTTTTATTATTATTGTTTGTTTGTCTAAACGAAACCAGGAATGTGTGCTGTACATAAAAATATAATTATAATAAATAAATATTAATTAAATTATTTGAATTGCGTAGAAAAAAAAAAAAACTAGGACGTTGTTTACCCGGTTGATTTGAAAATGGGGTAACGACGACGGTTAAAAATTTTGGTTTTATGCATTTGAAAAAAAAAGCAAAAAATTTATTTGCAAAAAGTTTATTATTTAATTGAAAAAGGTTTTAATTACTTACAAAGAGATTTGAGTTTTCTTTTTTTTTCTTTTTCTTTTTCTTTTCGAATTTTAATTTTTTTTTTTTGTTTAAATAGTAAAATAATAATAAAAATTATTAAATTTTATAGTCTCCCATCGTCGTTTGGAAAATGAAAGCGCCCGAAAAAAAACCGTTGGTACGTCCGGAAAAACCCGAAGAAGTCCGAGCAAAAGTTCGTAAGGGATCGCAGAAAAAAGTTCAAAATCCAATTAAGGCATTGAGCGAATTTCAAAGTCCAACGGAATCTGTTTAAAATGAAATTTTTTCAACCGTCAAATTTAATTTAATTTTTACAGGGAAATCGCGAGAGAGAAAAAATATAATAATAAATTATTCTATATCATTCATTAATCATAACCTTTTTTTTTTTTAACCGTTAACTGTGATGTGTCTCATTATTAATTTTTTTTTACTATCGGGTGGTAAAAACTTATCTATTATTATTATTATTATTATTACGGTATCACAAAATATTTTTTAGACGAAACGTGAATTTTTTTTTTTTTTTCGTGGTAACAATATATATAATAATTTATTTTAAAATATAGGAAAACTTATATAAAAGTAAATCGAATTTGTTTTTAATTATTAAAGTGAATAAAAAGAATGCATTTGTGAGAATTAATATATAAAGTAGTGAGGGTATTCGGTTAGTTATTATAATCTTAGAACGTTCTAGAACAAAAAAAAAAAAAAACATTTTTATATAATGAAATTTTATGAGAATTTTCCAATTTAAATTTATTTTTTTGTAATAATTTTGTCATCGTATCTGTATGTGATGTTTTTATCATACAGTTAACTTTATATTTTGATATAAAATGAACATTTTTTCAATCTGAATTTCAATTTTCTATTTTATTGAATGTTATTTATTTTTATTATATTATTATATTATTATTATTATGATTATCAATAAAAAAATATGTATAAAAAAAATTTTATTTAAATTTATAATTATTTAATCATTTTATCCTTCCCCTTCCTTCCTTCCTTAATAAATACATATATTTATGTATATATATATACTTAATTTTTTACATACATTTCTTTTTTTTCTTCTTCTAATTTTCATCCATTTCTTCGGATTCTTCCATTATTTTATAAAGATTTTTATATTTTGAATTCGTGTATTTAACAATTGGATCGTAAAACCATTTTGGAAAAACTCTCTTGTATAAAAGCATCAAAACGACATCTTGAGATTTGAGTTGACCGTCGAATACTGCTTTCATATGACCGTGAGTACCTGGAATTAAGTTTTTTTTTTCACGATCAGAGAGATTTTCCCGAGGGAAATGCATCTACTTTTCAAATAATTATTTTTTGTAACATACCAAGAGGTTCCTTAATATTCCCCCTTCGACCACATTTCGTTTTTAATTCCACGGGCTTGAACCATTTTATATCTTCCCTATTGAAAAACATGAATCGTATAACGGCGGATTTTTTATTTATTTTAAATGGATGCCCGGATAAGACGACTCGTTTTATGATTAATCGATCGGGATTTATGGAAAGGACGCTTCCCGACGCGATCAAATCTTGAGTTCCGTTGGGATTTTCTTTAAATGCTAAAATTGATGCTGGAGGGAAAATGATTGGAGCGTAAACGGTGGCAACGGTAACCGAATTCGGTTGAAAATATCTTTCGTACTGAAACATAAAAATTAAATAAAATATTGGCGGCAAATAATAAATAATAATAATAATAATAATATTACAATAAAATCATCCTTACTTTATGTTTACTCCCGGACGTGTGTTGACTGAAAATAGGTTTCGATTTAAATCTTCTATATCCACATTGAAAAATCAATTCTTCTTTTGCTTTGATCGGTATGTCTGCCCATGGTGTATTTTGATTTCTTTTCAACACCATATTGATGACAGACATTTTTTGTTCGTGTTCTAACATGCCAACGACTATAATTGGTTCGTGAGCGTGACGAGATTGATATAAATTTAATGGAACTTTATTAATGTGAATAGTTAAGTAAGTGCCGATCTAAAAAAAAAAAATGATAAACCATATTTATACTTGTTTTTAAAAAAAAAATTGTTTGAAAGCATTTTTCGAAACAAAATAAAACTCATTATTAAATCTTACAGGCACGCCATCAGCTAAATCTTCTTCAATTTCTTTAAAAATACGTTTTCTCGTTCTATTAAAATTTTCAAATTGAAATATTCTAGCATAATCATAGGGTAAATTTTCTTTCGGATCCCAAGGAGACGTTCTAAACGATGACAAACCTCTGTATTTTTGAAATCGATCTTTGGCAAGCATGTCAGTAGGAGTATCAATTTCATCCGGAAACATTTGGTCCAATTTAGCTTCCTTTATTTTTTCCCTAGCTCTCTTTTCTTCATCCATATCCATGGCTTCATCATATTTTTCAGCATCCATTTCATCCTCTGTAACACTCAAAATTTCTGATTTTTCATCGCTGAATCTAACTTTTGGTTCATCCATTTCATCACCGGCTTCATCTATTACAGACATTTTGTCCATTTCTTCATCTAAATCATTGTCATCATCATCATCATCAATTTCTTCGATATCTTCATCGGGAATCCAACAAGCCTGATAATCAGACATTCCTTTAGGTATTTTTTTAGTTAATTTTTTATTTTTTCTTTCCTTCTCAGCTTCTTCTAATTCTTCATTCGTAGGCCAAGTTTGTTCTGCATCCATTGGGTCAGGGATGTTCTCCGATTCCAAACTAGCTTGTTTATCAGGATCAGCAACGGCCAAGAGTTTTGTCACGGGAATTTTGTCCATCTTATCAGATATTGATTGCTCATATTCTAAGCCTTCTATTTGTTTCATATGAAAATCTCCCCAACCGGGAATGTGAACCAACGAATTAACGGAAAGCGGTTTACCTCTAAGATAACCTGACACTTTTAAAACCCCTAAATTACTATTTTCTTCTAAAGTAAAATCTAATTTTTCAGCCAATAAATGAGGCCTTCTATCTCTCTGTATAATGCTTCTTTGTTTTTGACTACCTATTTTCCTCAGTAAATTTAAAACATCAACATCTTTATCGACATAAAAAATTTTTTCATCTGGCAGCCATTTAGAAATTGACTTTTGGGCTTCTTGTTTATAATTTGACCTTTTCTGAAATTATATTTTATTTTAATAAAATTTTTTTATAAATGAATAAAATAAATATATAATTTTTAAAAATTCATTTACTTTCATAGGTAAGTTTTCCAGGTCGACTCCTGCAACAATACTTGATGGTAAACCTTGAGCTAATATTGCTATTAGAATTTTTTCAGATTCTTCATCTATCACTTGCTCAGTTAGAGCGGAAACAACAAACATTATTGTATTGGCCACTTTTAAAGTATCTAACACTGCATACATATTACCTTTTTGAGGCAATACAAATGAAAAAGTCTGTTTTGTAACTTTACAACTGTAATCAAATTAAAAATTACAATTTTATTCAAAAAAAAAAAAGGCAAAATAGTCACAATAAATTTACTTACCTGACATGTAATACACCTTCAGGACTTATGGCAACATTTTCTGACTTATAACAGTTTTTAATTAATTTTATCAACTTTTCTGTATCCACATCAAAATTCAAAGGGATTACAGACACAAGAAAAGGCGGCGTTTTTGGACTTCCTAATTGTCGCTTTTTTTGTAAAATTTCATTTCTTTTTTTCTTACGATTAATTATCATTTGATTTCTTCTTTCTTCTTTAGAAATACTATTTTTAAATCTTTTGGTAATAACCTTAGCTGCAGTTCTTCCTTTTTCAGCTACGTGTATAGCACCCTTACTTCTATGTCGCCCATGTTTATGAGCCTTATTTTGTTGTTTTAATAGTCCGGGACGATGACGTTCTTGATCAATACCCATTTTATAAATAAAAAAAATTTAATTTATTTATTTCAACTGAAAACATGAGGTTCACGTGTTCAAAACAAATAGCAGACACTACTTTTCAAAGTGTCAAGAAGAAATCTAAAACCACGAAAATTTATGACGTCATTATTTTTAAAACCCCGATCTTAAGTATAAATACAATGAACAAGCAAAAAAGCAAATTAAAGAATATTTAAAAATAAAATAAAAAATAAAATAAAAATAAAATAAAAATTTAAAAATAAAATAAAAACAATGAAAATATGTAAAGCACTTTATTTCTAAACATTGATATTTACTTTTAAAAATTTATAAAATAAAAAAAATTTTTTATATAAATAAAGTTTTTTGTACAAAAATCATCTACAACAACTGTTAGTTTCTAAAAAATATTCTGGGAATAGTAAAAAATATTTTATGATTGAAAAAATATTATTAATATTTCAAATTTAAAAAGTTTAAAACTTTCAAGTACCAAGTTTTTATAATAGATTTGTTTTTTCTTGAATTCACTTAATCTTTAAAAGTTTTCGATGCACATTCAGTGGCATGACTCTAAAAAAAAAAAAAAAAAAAAAAAAACACAAAATTAAATATTTATGGAAAAGTTTAGAAAACTAATTATTATTTTTTAAATAATATTGAATAAGTTAGTAGTACTACCTCTATAAGTTGTTTTGAAAATCTAAAACTGCAAATAGGACAAACTACTGTATCACTGTCTAATCCAGATTTCAAAATGTTATCATCCTGATTATAAGAATCACTCTGACAAAAAAAAAAAATTTAATCAAAGATTAATAATAAATAATGTAAATTTAAAATACATAATTTAAAAAATCCTTACCATAAAAATGCTTTCAGAATTTTTTTCTCTTTTATTACTATTTTTGCTATTAATATTACATTTTTCTAATTTCATAACAATATCTGGATTATTACTTGCAAAAGTCCTCTTATTTTTTGCAAATTTTTTATCTTTTAAAGCCTTTTGTTTAGAAATGCAATCATCGGAGCCATCGAGAGAAAAGTCATCATATTCGTTTAATAATGTCCTATTTTGATTTCTATTTCTTAAAACCATTCTAGCCCCACCTTCGTTACAAACACCTGATTTTTGAGATTCGCCATAATCATTCTGATTGCATATTTCATGTAGAGAATTAAATTTTTCTTTTTCATTTTCAGTTTCCATTTTAAGCTCTTCTTTAAAACTGTTGTTGTTTGATTGAGGACTAATATCATTAGAAGAATTACTTAAATCAAAACTAATTTCCGCATTAACTGGAAGAAAAACTGAGTCTTTCAAATTTTTCGATAATAAAAACTTTTGATATCTGTTTAACAATTGCGAAGGAATTAATTTTCCATCCCACTTTTCACAACTACTTTTAATAATAGGTATACCCCAGTTAACAGGAGCTTTGTATTTGGCAAAAGTTTCTTTCCATTTTTTATTTTTGTAATCGCACTCTGCTATTATAGCATTAACATCTCTCATTTTAAAACTTGATATATTAATTTTTTTTCTCTCTTTTCTCTCATTATCTAAAATTTCTTCAACATTTAATACTACTTCTTCTTTTATACCATTGTTGTTATCACTATTACAAGGTACATCCTTTTCAGGAGCAATCGAATCATCATTATTTACCTTTTTATTACTATTACTGCCATTAGTATTGTTATCGTTATTGTTATTCGATTCTTCCATTTTTGGTTTTTTAGATTGATTTTTATTTTTATGAAAAAATGAACCTCTTTTTTTTCCTAATGAAGTATTGGAAATGCTATCATCAACTACAGACTCTATAGTTTTCTTATTTAAAAACTTAGCAGCACCATTAGATTTTGTACATTGATTTTTATTCTTAGTCAAAACTGAACAATTATTTAAATCACTTTCAGAAACTTTATCATTAGTCTGGTGAACAGATTCATCTGTAAACTTGTCATTTGTTTCTTGATGAGAACATTCAAAGGTGTTTTTAGATGTCTTATCACTCTCAAGTTCATCTGGATGAGAGTTTTTCTTTGTCAAATTTACAGTTTTATTAGTTTCTTCAAAGCTATTAACTATCCATTTTCCTTCTTCTTGAGAGTTTATTTGAGAAGTGTGACAGCTGAAATAAAAAATGTAGAGCATAATGATTGTAACCTTGTTATCTAATTTGGTACTTACTATTAAATATAATTTTTATGATAATAGTGAAACAAGTTTCACTGTAGAAAAAATATTATTATAAAATATTACAATTTTCAAAATTATATTTTAAATATTTAAAAAACTAAAATAACTTGTGTTATTTTAAAAAAAAAAAAAAAAAAAAAAAAAAAAAAACATTTAATAAACGTTTATTACCTATTTTGTAGCAATTTTTCATTGCTACCTGTGTTAAAACAAGCATTTGCTTGTTCGATTTGTTTTTTCGATCGATTTATTTGACGTTTTCTATTTCTTTTTTTAGATTTTTTATTAATATTAAGATTATCATTAGTAGAATTTTTTTTATCTTTTTCACAATTTTCCACTAAAATGCAATTCTCCCCATTTTTTACTGATTTTAATTCTGTTTTCGAACATGACTTCTTCATTTCAAAACCTAAAAAATAGAAAACAATTTTTCTTTCACTTGATATTAATTTTTTAGAATTAAAAACAAAAAAGCATTAAGAATATTTGTAATTCATTAATTCAAATAATTTGCCTGAAATAAAATAATGCCAAAAATGCACTCTATATTTACATTGTTCAAAAAAATTTAAGTAGATTTCTACTTTTTTAAGATATACATATATATATATATATATTAAAATTTTTAATTTTGATAAGTATTGAAGAAAACCATACTTGGTAAATATTTTTAACTATAAATTAATTATTATAAAATAAGCAAGCATAATTATAGTTCCTAATGGCCCTAACGACTCGTAAGTTGTTGACTCAAGCAACTAGTATTTCGAATTACTTTTAGTACCAAACTTTCCATATAGATATCAGCACAGTTTAATATTAGACCACGTGATATAAGCCGAAACATGGCAGTGTTTTTGTTTCTAAACGGTTTAGTTAATGAAAAGTATTATTATTATAATTATTACCCCAATTTTTATAACTTCATATTAAAAAATTTAAGTATTCATAAGTTTTAATTTTATACTTGTATTATCTAAAATTATATAATTAAATTACTTATTGGACATAAAATTAAAAAGATGTAATTTTCCTCTGCCATGTTATGGCATGTGTCAGTACTGATTATCGATTTACTGTCGTATCAAAAATACCAAGAGGACCGAGCCAATCAAATATATAAAAAATGAGTAAGGGATTTTAATTTATTTTTCATAATAATAATAATAATAATAATAATAATAATAATAATAATTTAAAATTATGTATTATTTTAATATTAATTTTATTTTTAATTTTGTCTAAAATCTAAATTTTTTTTTTTTTAAACTAAATTTTTTTTTACTTTAGGCAATTGTGTAATTATTGATAAGTAAATGAGTTCCTACTTTTGTAGGTGGTCATGATTAGTTTTTGGACAGAAAGAGATCAAAATTGTCTGACAATAAAAAGTCCATTAGCATTTTTTGTGAACTTATTTAAAAAAAAAAAATATAAAGTTAATAAAAACAATGTGAAAAACAATTGTAAATCAAGTAAATCTTGCCAAGTGCCAACTGTAATATCTGTATCTGTTATGGACATGAGAATGAGTTCCCCTTGCCCTTTATCTCCTGCTTTATCTGTGTTAACCTTAACTCCTGGAAGAACAAGGGATATTGATCAAGATATGGAAGCCTTAAGATTATCTAGAAGGGATAACCCTTTTCTGCAAGTTCTTACCAGCAAGGAAAGTTTGGTTGAGAGTTTATTTGAGTCTGAATCAGATGATACTAATTTAATGTCTCAAGTATGTCATTTCTTTTTTTTTTTATTCATTCATTTTTTAATGAAATTTTTTTGTCGTATTTCTTGAAACGTTAAGAATTCTTTAAGAAAACATTAAATTCATTCATAATATTAAAAAATTTTTTTTTTTTTTTTTTTTTTTTAGGAAATTTCTAATGATTTAGAGGTTGATCCTTTTTCTCTTCCTGAAATTCATGAACATATGATCAGAAGTCCACCACCTACAACATGGCCCAGATCGCCTAATTATAAAATGTTTAGATTTCCCGTTCAAGAATCGGAAGAAAATTTACAAGTATGCTTAAAATTAAGTTAAATTTTATAATAATTTTATCAATAACTGGTTTTAATGAAAGAAAAAAAAAAAAAAAAAAAAAAATTGCTTTTTAGGGAAGTAGTAATCAATTTGTAAACTACAAAAAATCATCGTCAAAAGTCATGTCCTCGATTTCCATGAAAGAACACATAGAGGAAATGTCAGGTTTAAAAGTTTGCAATGCTTTCAATTGGAAAACACAATCGGAAAAACAATCATCAAATATTGGAAAAAGCATTGAAGACAGCTTAGACAAAACCCTAAGTGATGACTGTAAAGGTAAAATTGTGCAAGGTTCAATTAAATATTTGTAAGTTTTATTATAATTTTTTTTTAAATAATAATAATAATAGAAGAAAAGTTGTTACAAAAAATGAAATGATAACCTTATAATAATAATAATGATGAAAAATTAAAATTTTTCTTTTTTTTATTTATTATTATTATTATTTTTAATCAAAACTTATTTTTTTGACTGAGCATGGTAAGCATGTAGCATTTATTAATTTTATGTAAATATTGTGATGATAATTACATTTTCACAAACAGAATACTATTCTTTTTTTTTTTTAAATTAATTTAAATCGAAAAGTTTTCAATCTTTATTTTATGTCTTTTTCACAATTGTGTATTAAATTATTTAAATATTATTCTTCAAAAATTTATTTTAAAATCAGAGTTAATTACAAAGAAGCAGTTTACAGAATGTCTCTTTATTTTAATGCAAATGTATTTATTATTAGTAATGTATTTGTTACTTAAAAAATCGACATTTTTTTCTGTTACTATTTAAAAAAGAAAATTTAATCTATTTTCCAAAAAAATATATATATATATATAGTTTATTTATTTTATTTATTTAAAAGAAAAATTATCAGTTGGTTATATTATTAAACAATATTTTTTTTTTTAAAGTAAAAATTAAAAATAATATAAAAATCTAGTCGTCCTTTAGTCATAATAACAGTGATTCATTCGAAAAGAAAAAAAAAGAAAAATTTTAAATTATTATATTATTAATAAAATCTAATAAAAATTACCAAAGGAAATTAATTTTGATTAAAAAAAGAAAAATATTAAATTTTATTTTATTGCTAATAATGTTGTATATTGTTAAAGTTTATTAAATTTAAATCTTTCTTACATTAAGCTGAACTTAATTTATATTTGTTTAATTATAAATTTATATTTTTCTAGTCAGCTTATAATATTATTTAATAATAAAAATGCAAATTAATAAAGTTAAAATAATTTTTTTTTTCTATTTAAAATTCTATTAGGTATTTAATAATAATAATAATAATAATAAATAAATTATATTTTACAATTATTATATCGATAAGTAAAAATTTTTTTTTTTTTTTCTTTGGGATCCGAGTACCAAATTTTTTTTTTGTTTCAAAATAAATTATTTTATATAAAATTATCATTCCTAATTATTATGTAATAATTAATAAAGGATTAATAATAGTTTTAGTAAAAATAATAAATGAATTTCAAAAAATTTAAATTCATTCCATAAAATTTATGCTTTTTTTAAATTAAATTTTAAAAATTTATTAATTAGTTAGTTATAATCGAATAAAATTTAGAAATTTTTTTTTTTTTTCATAATGGATTCTGAATTAATTTAGTTTACACCAACTGATTTTTATTTATCTAAAATATATATATATTTAATTTAGAAAAATAATTAGTATTGAAAATATTGAGTTAAATTAAATAATCACTTTACTTAAACATTATGTTGAATTAAGAAAAATAATTTAATTATTTGTTATTTTTATTATAATTTATTGTGATACTAATTTCAGGTATCCATGTTATATATATATATTTTTTTTTTTTATTTATTTAATAATTATTATTATGTATTTTGTATTTAAAAACTTATTATTATTTATATAAATTAGAAAAAATAAACTAGTTAAAAAGTTATAAAGGTTATGTTACCTAAATTACTGTTGAAATTTATTAAATTAACAAAAAGTATACTTTTCGATTTTAAAACGGTAAAAAAATAATAATAATAATTAAGTAATTGCATTTATTTAAAATTTTATATAAAAACTTTAATAAATTAAATTAAATTAAAATCAATACTTATTCTAGTACTTTAATGTTAAATAATAATGATATATATTATTAAAAAAACTTTAGTTTAAAATTTATTTTTTGTAAAGTAGCTTAATTATGCAGTCTCAAAAATTTATTCGTATATTATTATTTTTAATTTAGATCATAAACAGTTACCATTTTGTTATAATAAATAATAATTTAATATTAATCATTTTTTTTTTTCAAAATAAAATTGAATACTTTTTAATTATTTATGTACATAACCTAATGATTTTATTAATATTATTAATTAGTCAATATCGATGAACTGTCAGAAATTTTTGTTTTTTTTTTTTTACTTTGTAAATCAATCGATATGTGTTAAAGCAAATTATTTTGATCTCGATAATCCAAATATTATATTTTAATTGTAGAAATAAATTGTTTGGTTGTGCAAAATAAATAGTTTAAAATCATAAATAAATTTTTGTCATTTTTTTATTTATTTCACATAATGACTATATTTAAATTAACAGAATATTTTTGGTAAACTGAGTAACAATTGGACTATCAATTTTAACAAAAAAGCAAACAAAATTATTAATAAAGAATGAACTTACTTAATGATGTTTAATGAGTTGACTAACAGGCACTTAAATGTTTATTACACTGCAATTTTTTTTTCACGTTAATAATCGTTGAACGATTATGATTCTTGACAATGCTAAAGAAATATTTGAAAAGTAAAATAAAACTTTTTAAGACAAAAATTCCAATTTTTAATTGATTCTTTACTAAGTAAAATATTTATTTCTGAGCCTTTTTTTATTTTTTATAGTTAATTTATTCATTATTGAAATAATGTCACTGTTTAGGTATTACAAAAAAAAAAAAAACAGATTAGATTAAAAAAAGATTAAATGTCCATTAATTAATTAAATTTGATAAATTAATTTTCCACTTCTAATAATAAAATCTAACAAACACATTTGAAAATGAATTTCTAATGGATTTTTAGTAACTTTAAAACTAGGAAGACCAGCTGTTTCTAATGTCATTTGTTGTTCTGCAACCTAAAATTATTTTTAAATTTTAAATTTATGAAGATAATTGAGATTAGTAGTTAATAAATCTAAATAATAAAATAATATAAATATGCACCTTTTCATCTAATTTTAAAATAATTCTAATATCTAAATCTTTTAATTCTTCCGAATGTTTTTTCATTAATAAACTTTTTTCAATTTCATACTTATCAGTGGATAAATTTTTCGACTGTAAAAGTTCATGTTCCACTGTAAAATACAAATACAATTTACACTATTTGTGCTAAATAAGAAATCATTAATAAATTTGAAATATAATTAACATTTACAAATCAACTCACTGATATGTTTTTTTTGCAGTTCGATTCTTTCATAAAATAATTCTTTTTCAATAATATGTTGTATATCTAACAAACTATTAACGATTTCAAATATTGTTGGATCATTAAGTAAATAACTTGCTAAATTTGCTAAGAGTTCACAAGACATACGCTGCTGAATCCGGCTAAAATATTTTTTTTTATTTAAAAAAAACATTAATAATTATTTTTTATACAATTACCCTTAAAATGACATAATTAATTTTACTTACATCGGTAATTCTTTTGCCCAATCCTGTAGTTTTTCATGTAATATATAAATTTTTTCTTGTAATTGATTAGCATTCAACGCCATATTGTTGTTTTTATTGCGTTTAAACACATTAATAAATATAAAAATTAAAAACACAAATCAAATTCAAAAAAAATAAAATTACATTCGTGTTAAGAGAAACAAAAACAAATGATTAAGTTGGTCAAATGATCACAGTTATTTTTTTTTTTTTAAACTTAAGTTGGCAATGGAACTAAGTAAACAATCCGCCATTTGTAAAATTTCAAAACTTTCATTTTGTCAACAAATGAACGATGTTTTTTTTTTTAAATTTAAAATAAATAAATTAATAAATGCTCCAACGTTTGATTTTATTTTTTAATTTTAAAATTTAATTAATTTATCAATGATAATCCCTTACAATTACAATTTCCTAAACTGAAAAAAAAAAAAAATTAAAGACCGAATACAAAATTTTAATTTAAATAATAATAATATTAATGAAACATATTTTTTAGTTTTTTTTTTTTTTATAACCCTTTGACTAATTAATATAGTTTTACATTATATAATTTTATTTAATAAAGAAAACTTTATTTTAATATACAATTAAAAATTTTTTAAAAACAAACCCTAGTTAAAAAAAAAAAAAAAAAAAAAAACAAAATATAAATAATTAAAATTTTCAATATGATAATTTATTTTTATTATCATCATCATCATTATTATTATCATCATTCAAATAAGTTTTTTCATTAAAAAAGACAAGAATAAATTTACTTTATGAAAAAAAAAAAAAAACTTTTATTTTTATTGAAAAATAAATTAAAAAATTTTTTTAATTTGCATTATCAGTATTCAGCTCCCACAATTTTTTTTACCCTTTGATGTTATTAAAATATATATATATATATATAAATATATAAGACATAAACTTGGTTGTTACAAACCTTGGTTGTTACTTAGTAAAACAACATCAAAAAAAAAAAAGAACCAGTTTTAATGTGAGTATAAAGAAAATTTTTTTTTATAAATTTTTTTCTTGATGATTTATTTTTAATTAATTAATAATAATAGATTTTAGAATTTCATATTGAAATGAAAAAAACATCAATAATATTTTCATCAATTTTAGGTGAGTTAAATAAATTTTTATTTCTTATTGTAAAAGTTAATGTTTTTACTTCCTTTACATACATTATAAAGAATACAATTATTTATAAATAAATTTAAAGTAACAATTTATTTAATTAATGGAGATAAATTTTTTTTTGTAAAATAAATAAATACATTACTTACTTATCAAACATGTCATTAATTTCTAAATTTTGAATGAAGTTGTTTGTTATTTTTAAAAAATCAGTCAAAAAAAATAAGAGGCAATCAACCTTAACATATATAAAACAGTTTTTTAAGTTTAATCTAAAATAAAATACAAATTGATGTGAAAATGATTGTAGTTGTAATACTTTGGGCAACCGCCATATTGTCACTTCCATATTCAGGATCATGTGATTCATGTGGAAAAGAATGTCAATCAGCTTGTGGTACAAGAGGATTCAGAGCTTGTTGTTTAAATTATTTAAAAAAAAGAAGCAGCACACCATTATCAATGGGATCAGAAATGCGCCTTGAACTCATGATGGTAATCATTAATTAACTCATCATCAAATAATTTTATCAAATGAATTGATTAAAACTGTCATGGCTGACTGTAAAACAAAACAACCCAAATTTCAAATATTTAATTCATTTAAAATTTATAAAAACAAAATGCAATTCTCATTATTATTATTATTATTATTGTAGGTTTTACCTGAATTAGCTCAATATTATCCATCATTGAGAAATTTAATACCGGATGCAGTTGATGAAAATCAATCGGGGAAATATATGTTGGATAAAACTGCGCTTGATAATTTTGAAAAATTCACTTCCGGTTTTGAAAAAAATTAAATTTTATATTATATAAATTAAAATAAATAATATTTAAGAACTTGAAAAAATTATTATTATTATTTATTTATTTATTTATTTATGCCTCTTTTAAATTAAAATTTTATACGTAAACTAACTTAATTAAATAAATAAAAGTTAATTATGGAATAACTTTTTCTCATTTTTTTTTTTTTTTTTTTAATAATGATGATTTTAATAAATATGAATACTTAAAAAAAATAATAATAATAATAAAAACCATCCATTATTACAATGAATGTATGTAAGTAAAAAAAAAAAAAAAAGGAAAAAAAAAATCATAATAATAATATTTTTTTCTTTTATTTTTATTTCAATTCACTTTATTTAAACATCAACCATTATTATTATTATTATTATTATAAACACCTAAAATTTTTTTTTTTTTTTATTATTTTTTTATTTAAATTTTATTAATTTACAAGTCTATTTAGAAAAAAAAAAAAAAATACAAAAGCATTTCCATAATGGAAGTGCAAACATTAATAAACTAGCTTTTAAAAAAAAAAAAAAAAAAAATTTACAATTCACGGCCCATAATTAATTTTATTTTTTATTTTATTTATGTATTTTATTGAATTAAAGCTTTCAATTTAATTATTTAATAAGATTTATTAATTTTTTAAATTAAAATCCGTAGGGAGAAAAAAAAAAATTCAATTTCATGTAAATAAATAAATAAAAAAAAAAATAATAATAATAATGAGAATAAGAAGAACACAATTGATTTTAAATTTCTTATGATTTTAATTAATTAATTTATTATTATTATTATTAAAAAACAATATGGAATAGTTTTCACTGTATATTCTATACAATTTAAATTTCAATTTCAATTTCAATTTCAATTTTTTAATTAGCAAAGCATTTAATATTTAAAAAAAAAAAAATGAAAATATACACAACATACATCATGACTTTTTTTATTAATAATTGATATGATACAATTTTTTAATAATAATAATTTATTTATTTATTTAATAATTAAATGCTACTCCAACCTCGCGACATTTTTCTTTTTAACGATAATAATAATAATAATAATTAATTATTCCCGACTAAAAAAATAAACAAAATTTTAAATGATGTTTTAAAAAAAAATTTTCCTGTTTTTTTTTTTTTTTGTTTAAAAATTTATTATTATTATTATTGTTTAAAAAAATGTAAATAGAATGTTTCAATATACGTATCACCTAATAATAATAATAATAATAATAATACAAGCAAGACAAATAATTTCAGGTTTTTAATAAAAAATAATAATAATAATAATTTTTCTCAACTCTAAACACCTAATTAAAAATTTTTTATGGAACTAATTACCCATTTTTTATTAAAAAAAAAAAAAAAAACAAATAAATAAATAATTTTGATTACTAATAAAACATTTGATCATCATGATTATTATTATGTTATTAATACATAAATAAATAAATAAATACTTGTTTACATAAAAATAAAAATAAAATTACACATTTGAATGACTTTAAAAAATTATTGAGGAAAAATAATTTATTTATTTATTTATCATTTTACAAACTGATTAAAAATAAATTATTATTATTATTATTATTACATAAATTTCGATCGATATTTAATATAATAAATAATAAAAGCCTAAATATTATTATTATTATTATTATTATTATTAAAAAAATAATTTTTTTTTTTTTTATTTTGGCAAAATATTCATTATAAATAAAAACAGTCAAATTCTACAGGGGGGGAGGGGGGAAACAATTAATTTAATTAATTATGGAAAATTGTGAGCTAAATTATTTATTATTATTTCTATTAAAAAAAAAAAAAAAAAATACTGACGACAAAAATAAGAAAAATGATACACTAAATAACATTTATGATATATTATTAAAAATTTTTATTTTTTTTTTTTTTACTAATTTAATGGAAATTATTATGTATATATATATTGAGCCATAATCACATAATAGCCATCATATCTGTGCTTAACTAATAATATAATTATTATTTATATTATAACATTTAATCATAATAATAATAATAATAATAATTAATACTTCATTGTTTTCACTTAAAAATTTTTATGTATAAAAAAAAAAAAAAAAAATGAAAGCTTGAAAATTTTTTTTTTTTTTTTTTAATAAAATATTTGGCACAAATTAATTTTATTTTATATTCGTGATTGAACCGTGTGTTTCTGTATTAATTTAAAGGCTATTAAAATTTACAAAAATTAATTTATTGGACAGATTAATTAATTAAATAATAATAATAATAATAATAATAATAATAAAATAAAATTTATAAATACGCCATTTTCTACCCGTAAATAAAATACATTTGTCATAAACCCAAAAATTATCAATTAATTTAAATAATCGATAAAATTTTAAGTATATCATACCATATTATTATTATTATTATTATTATTAGAATTTTAATTAAATGTTTTTAATTAAATTTTTTGTTTAATAATATTTGTTTTTGATGATAATTGCATCCATCCCTACTATTGAAATTGAGTCAGATAACAAAATATTTATTATTTATTAAATTAAAAATGGAATTTCTTGCTAAACAAATAAATAACTTAAATGTCTCAATATTAAAAAAAAAAAAAAGTAATCAAAACAATCATGACAATATGCAAACAAGCAGAAGAAAAATTATTAATACATAATTAATTACAATAATTTATTATTACATTTTAATAAATTTCAATTTAAATGAATAAATTTTATTTTTTTTTGAAAAAAAAAAAGTTTTGATTACTTAAAATTTCATTTTTTAAATGATTTCAAAACGACAAATTAAAACAAAGGGCCGCCATTATTAATTAATTAATAATAATAAATAAAAAACGCGTCGTTAAATGTAATAAATAAAAAGAAATTGTTTTTTTTTTTTATGTAACCTATTATTTTAATTAATTAATTAATTACATAACGTAAATTATGTGTTATTAAAAAAGAATCTGCAAATCCCGCTTTCTTTTCAACACCAGAAACAAATCTTATTAACAAAAATGGGCAAGAAATTAATAAAAAAAAAAAAAAAATTATTATTATTATTATTATTATTAATACTGTTTGATTTCTTTGAAAGAAAAAAACAAAAACAAAACAAAATCCTAACAACAATTATCATTTAATTCCTAATCAATCAATTTTTCCTAATAAAACCTTAAAACGCATATTCCACAAAATGGTCAAAATCAAATCCAGACTATTTTCCATAACAATTACATAAAATAAATTAAAGTAGTAGTAGTAGGAGTAGGAGTAGTACTCGTTTTTCCAACATAAACAGCGTATGAATACTCTAAGCATGAATGATTATTTTTTAAATTGAAACTAATTTTTAAATATTACGATTAAAATTACCATAATTAAATACGATTAAGTATTGATTATTATTATTATTATTATCATCATCATCTACTTTTCCGTTAAACTATGACTGAAGGACATCCGCGTGATTCGATATTGTTAAATTGTTAAAATGATTTGTTATTGTTTCGTTTCCTTGATTTAAAAGCACTGTATGAGTCAATGATTTATTTACATCTTGCAACGTTTGTTCTAATTGATTTATATTACTAAAACCGTTTTGATAAAATACTGGAACTAACGTGTGTGGAACTTCGATATTAGCCGTTACTTCCGGCAATTGAGCTAACGTTTGGGCTATCGTCTGTTCGTCTAATAATGTGTCCAATATACCCTGAGTTTGGGATAGTTTTTCGAGGGATTTGACATCTTTGTCGACGGCCTCCAACGCTCTTTCCAATTCTTCCGTTTCCTGAGGAGTCGGCTCGTATTCTTCTTTATCTTCTGCAAGTAACCGTCATCAACGGAAATTTTATAAACCTTTTTTGGTCTCTTTACAAAAACTACTAGATTGAAAAATAATTACCGGTAAAAAGATCGTTAAATGCATCGGGAGGAATATGATTTAAAACGTTTGTAAAATCGTGTTCTTCTAACAATTTGGTGGCTTGAGTGGCTAGTTCTAAAGGTAAATCGGCAGCCATTGCTAAAACCTCTTCGCTCACCTCAACTTCTTGAGATTCTAAAATTTAACGAACAAGGTCGAATTTAATCCGAATAATTTACACCAAATAAATCGAAAAAATTAATAATATGAAATTAACCTAAGTAAAACTTGCCATTTTCACATAAATTTCCAAATGCAACATTTTATTTTTAAAAAAATGTTAACGATCAAATTATACAACTTACCATCAATTTCACATCTTGAAATTACTTGAGGATTTATTTTTTCAGACATGTTTTGCTGCTTGAAGGAACCATCATTATCAAAATCTTTTTCTATAAAAAAACAAACACAATGATTTAAGCATTAAATGATTATAAATAAAAAACCATGACAATCATAAATAAGAATGAAAGAATAAAATGTACCAAAATCAAAATTACTCGAAGGATCAACACTGTGGACTGCAGACACTGAATTGCTGCTTAAATTATCTTTTTTATCTTTTGGTGCAGACCTTTTTCTCTTTCTACTTCTTCCAGATCTACTACTTCCACCAGTGGATGACCGACTTCGCTTACGGGGCTGTGAGGGTCTACTCACCGGTCTTGAATTTATTAAATTCTTTGGTATATCTGTCGAATTCTGAAATTAAATTAGTAAAAAAAAAAAAAAATTGAGTTAATTTAAGCGTTTGTTGCTTTAGTTCAAAAATCCCATATTTAATATTTAAATATTATGACAAACATCTTACCACCAGTCTTTTATGTTGCAAACACAATGGATTATCCACACTTTGGTTCAAAACAGCTGCCTGACATGATGTATTATCACTTCTCAAAGCCGAACAGGAAGTGAATAAAAGTTGATCATTGGAACAAGTGATATGTTGTTGACAAAACTTGACACAAGGCATTGCTTCCTCTTCGCACTGTTGGCCTGACTCTGAATTTGTATAAGCGCATAACACAGGTCTTAGTAGGTTAAAAGGTTTTACCCTGAAAAAAATTTTTTTTTTTTATCGAAACAATTTTCTAACGAATAATTTTTTATTAGTTTCCGAGAAAAAAAAAAACAAAATAATCACCTTGAATTTTTCTTGGGATTATTGAATTTAGAATTTTCCAGTCTAATTAAAAAAGCAGTAAGGTTTGGCTGTTTTCTAGCACTTTCCACTAATAATTCAACTACTTTATCTCTATAATCATTTTTATACCTCCACTGCAATTGTTTTATTTTGTGTCTTAATTCTACTTTCAACTGAGATAATTTCAAGTCTCTTTTCCTATCACTATTCGATACAGAATCATAATCTCCACATAATGAAAACCAATAATTTTGAAATAATAAACATTCCGAATTGCAATTGTCATCGTAATCACCATCATTTACCGTCAAACCTACAATTTGAAAATTTTTTTTTTTTTTTTAAATTAAATTCTTTTAAATTGCTATAGATCCTCCCAATATTTTGATCATATAAATGAAAACAAACCGAAATGATGATGATCCCTTTTTAATCCTTTCAATTTATTCCTAATGTTCCATATTCTTTCAAGAGATTCATGTTTACTCTGGTCTAAAGAATCAGTTTTTACTCTTGACGGTGCTAATACTGTACCATTAACAGTCTCATGAAAATTTTTCACATTATTTTTTGAGCACTTGAACTCAGTTGAAGACCCTGGCTGGACAGCACTGTTGTTTTTAACTTCTCTGTCAACTCCATTTTTTATGCCTTTTTAAGAGTAAAATATATTATAATGAAAAAATTTGTTTTTTTGCTTTTGCAAAATAATATAATGCAAAACACTTATTAGACCTCCATAATATCTTTAAAATTATTACATAAAGATATTAACAAAAAACACATTCAATAATTACTTAAAAATATTATTATAGAAAATTTAATTTTGAAAAAAATATATGTATAAAAAAAAAAAAAACACTAACCCAACAATGATTCTTCTAATAAACTCTTTTTCTTTGAATTTACAGTAGGAGGAGGTACATCGAGTTGTTTTTGAAAATTTTTATTCATACCAAAAAAAGAACCTTTCGAATTATTTTTTTTTATTTGTTGAATAACTGGTCTATTTAAATAAGCAGTCTTTTGTATTTGATTTAATAAAGATTTTCCTTTTTGAAAATTCTTATGTTTTTTATCAAGTTTTTTCTCTCCTTTAAAATTCCCTTGCTTGCTAACTTGATTTGAATTGAAAGATGATGCTGACTTTACTGTCGTATTAAAGTTCGATTTTAATGTGCTATTAATATTTGGAATTTTAACACTTTGCAATTTTGCTTTGGATAAAAATTTATTAAATAATGGCTTGTTATTTGAAGATAAATGAACCTGTGCAGTAGTTTTGCCATTTTTCACACTTGAAATTTTATTTACATTTAATTGATCACTAACTTGCAATTTATATGCAGCTTGGTTTAAATTTGTAGCCACAATGTTATTTGTGGCAAACAAAGGCACTGCAAATTTGGCTAATTTTACATTTTTATTAATATTACTAGAACTTTCACTAAAACAGTCTTTTTCCTTAACCGAG